CCTAGAATATGCTATAACGAGGTTCGACTATTTTTGTGTTTATTCATTTAAAATAAATTTTTCTTTTATTAATTTTATAAGAATAAATTTGGGAAAAATGCAAGAAAAAAGTATTTTCTCAAAAAAAACTTGACAAATGTTAACTTTAAATATTTTGTCATTCCTAGTATTTCATAAAATTTTAAAAATTAAATTTTGTATTTTAACATGAAATATTTATTTTATTTATTTGGTTAGAATATTACATAAATAGTGCATTAAAAAATAATTTTTCCAAAAAAAAATTTTTTTTACAAAAAAATTTATTTTACGGAATTAATTAATTTTTTTTTAATTTTTATTTTGTGCTTTTGGTAACTTCCTTTTTTCTTTTGTATACTTAACAATAAAAGGAAATATTAAATTTTAGGAAATATTTCCAAAAAAATGTTTTTTAATAAATAAATAATTTATATTATTATTGTTTGTCAATAAAATAAGAACATTTTTTAAACGTTGTTGGAAATAAAATTAGAAAAAACGATTACAATTAATTAAATAAAAATAAATTCTTAAGAATTTAATTTTAATTCTTTAAGGTATAGTTATTCTATAAAAATATATAAATAATTAGGGTTACGTATTTTTTAATATTTTAAAATCTAATTAAACAAAATTTTAAAAAATTTCTTTTCTAAAATTAAAATATTCTTTTTTTTTCTTTTTTCCCCAAAAATAAATAATTTATGAAAATAAATATCTAATTTAAAAATTATTTTATATCTTTATTTATCTCAAATATACATTCTTGCCACTCCTTCTTTGTTACTTCTTTTTGATTTATTTATATTATTAAATTAAATTATTGGGTATATTTATATCAAAAATAAATACAAAAAACACCCACATACCCACATACATACACAATCACAAAACACAAACTTTATTTTTAAGAAAAATATTATTTTTTGCACAAAAACTGTGCACCTGCTTCCATTTCCGTTTATTTTTAATTGAAAATATATTTATTTATTTTAGGAAAGGGAGAGGATTTAATTAGGAAAGAGTTTATAATTAAAAATACCGGATTTTCGTCAAAGGAAGGAAAAAAAATATTTTTTAAGGGTCATATATACTTTAAAAAAATAATTTTTTAAATGTAAATAAAAAAAGAAAAAGGAAATTAAAATAAAATATAAAAATGATGTTATTTTTATTTAAAATACAAAAATATTAGCTCTCAATTCAAATTTAATATTATTATAATAAAGTCAAGTCCATAACAAAGGTCGATCTGAATTCTGATTTCCGACTTCAGATTTCCGAAAATTTAGGCTGATTTCTGTTAGGTATGTGTGGGTCTAGTATAAAACGAGTCGTTAGAGATTAGTCTTGGTCGACAATTTCCGACTTCTGATCTATTTCCGATTTCCGACAGTTCCGATTTCCGACACATTCGTTATTTCCGATTGACCTTTGCTCCATAATGACCCATTTTGGTGTTAAATTAAATTTAAAAAACAGTTTTATTTTTCCAAAATTTTATAAAAAAGTAATTAAATCCCTTTAAAAATATCCTCAATTCTCATATACTTCTTTCCAACATTTTTTTAAAATTTATTTCCTTAAATTAAAAAAATCTTACATTTATTTAAAAGTTTCCCATGGAATCAAATTTTTAAATAAATAAAATAGAAGTATTTATATATTTAATTTTGGAATTGAAAAAAAACTTTTTTCAAAAATAACTTTTTTTTATTTTATAGGAAATTCAAAAAAAATTTTTTTTCAATTTTTTTGGAATGTTTTTTCATTTTTTTCTCACTACAAACTATAAACAAACATCCATATAATTATTAAACTTTTTAAAATTTAGGCTTATTTTTATAAAAATTCTAATTGTTAAATAAAAATAAATTTTAATTTTTAGTTAGTATTTTAAGAAAAAAATTTTTAGTTGCATTTCTTGATTGTCCGTCATTGCCCAATACTATAATTTTACATAAAATAAATAAATATATAATTAGATACCTAGTATATGTATTTAGAATTATAGAGGAGGAAAATTTTTTAATTGAAAGTTTTGTTGATTTAAATATAGTAGGTATATAACTTTAAATTTAAATCACCTTTCAATCACCTTTCAAAGGGTTATCTAAATGAGCATTTGACTGGAAAGGAGTTATTTTCCATAAATGAATTTAAAAATTCTATCCAAATTTTTTCTCTCGTCTAGATTCCAAATCCTAATTATGAAAAAGAGACCAAGAAAGGGCCATTGCTTTAAAAATTTTAAATACGGCGTTTATATGCAAGTATTGTTCACTGCATATTTATCAACTTCTCTCAAATCCAAATTAAAAACCCCCATTTTTGGAGTTTGGCAAAATATCAAAGATTTTGGTTTTAAAAATGGTAGTGAATTTATTTATTTAATTAATTATTATTTTATTTTTGAACAAAAATAAATGAACAGCAGCTGATAAATTTTTTAATTTATTCTATTCTTTGTTTAAACAATAATTTTTTCTTTAAATTTTCTATGCAAAATTTTCTTAAAAAATTAAAAATTCTTTTGAGATGTTTAAAATTAAAAAAATTAAATATTTTATTTAAAAATTTTTTATAATTTATAATTTATATGTATCTATATTTGTAACAGAAAATATTTTTATTGTTTGTAAATATATATTTTTTGTAAAAATTTTTGCAAAAAACAAACAAAAAAAATTTTCTTCTTTTTTTTATTCTTCTCATATATATTTACGTTTTTTTAATTTTTTCCCCAGCCAAAAAATGGAAGCGCGTCATTAACTTTCCTTTGTAGTGAAGTTCCTTTTTGGCTCGGTTAAAATTTTGAATTTCTTTTTCAGGTTTTAATTTTTAGGTAATGCTTCCAAAATAACTATATTTTGAATTTTCCCAAATACTTAACAATTTGATTTTCCTAAATTAAAACTTGAAGATAAAGAATTTATTTAACTAATTTATTTTAATTTTAAGAAGTATAAAATTCCAATTTTAAGGAAGTTGTGAATACAAAATAATTTATACATTTTCGAATATTCCAAAATATAACTATTTTTATCTAATCTTGATCTTATGTACATATTTATGTAGACATTCTACATTTTTGTACGATCTTTATTTTTTTAAATTTAATTTGACAAAGGTAATTTGGTTTAAACAAAACTTTTTTAAATTAAATTTTAATTTATTCAAAAATCTAAAACTTTATGTACTCTCAATAATTCCAATAATTCCATTTTCTTTAAATGAACGTGAACATTTAAAAAAAAAAGATTTTTTAAATAAAGTTACCTATTTTAAATTATATATTTTATAAATAAAATACTTAAAATAAATAAAAAAAATTTTTTAATTTAATTATTATTTGGAAATAAATATTTGGCTCTGATTTAATCCATATTAGAGTATATACTTCCCCCCATAAGCATTTTTGAACGGAACCGGATCCAATTTGAGTACCGGATCCGAAACCGAAACTTACGGTGAAACTCTAATAAGCATCTGAATAAAAAAATAAGTATCCAAAGAATCATGGGAGTCATGTCCTAAACTCCAAATATTTGCTAAATATAATATTAAAAAGAAGCCTTTTCTACTAAAAAATTTTAATTGACAAAGGTTAATTTGGTTTAAACAAAACATTTTTTAATTAAATTTTAATTTATTCAAAAATCAGAACTTTATGTATACTAAATATAATATTAAAAAAGAAGCCTTTTCTACTAAATAAAATTTTTTTAATTTATTTATTTGTATTATAAATTTATTAATCCCTTCCGAAGCCTAACAAAAGTTTCATTTTATTTCCTTTTTATTAAAAAATAAAATAAAAAATTCTTCTAATGCTTTAAAGTCTTCAAATTTTGAAATTTAATTTTTTTGTATTATTTTGATTACTTAATTCATTAAATAAAAAATAGAAGAAGACTTTATTTTGCTGCAAAAATAAATTTTTTATTCGTCATTACAAGTAGTTGTTAAACAAAAAATGTTTTAAGGTTACAGACTCGATATTTATTAAATTAGAGATAGGACCGAGACCTCTACTTGAAAAAATGACCTCAAAAATAGGATAAAAACCTCTAAAAAATGACCTCTATCTCTAAAAATTTAGATCTCGATATTCTAAATTTTTAAACAAATTAAGGTCTGTGTACGAGTAATAATTATAAAATTATATTCTAATTTTAAATATACTTTGTTGGCTATAAGTTGACAAATTATAGCCAACAAAATTAAGTACAAACTAAATAAAAATTTAATTTAAACCTTTTTGTATTTAAAAAATACAAAATAGAAATTCTTTTTACAACTTTTTTTTCCAAGTTACAAATTTCCTGTTAAAACACACACCCTCATTTTTAAATTTCCAAACTTTTTCTTGTAAAAAAAGTGGGCGTTTCCTCTCCCCATCTTTTCAATTAATTTAATTTTGTGAGGAAAAATAAAAAATGGGCGGTCTTTTTATTTTTACTTTTTTTTAATTTTAAGCTTTTCTTTTTATATATAAATACTTTAGAATTTATTTTTCTTCAACATTTTTCTCTTTTATTTAATCCAAAATAATTTAAATAATTTTTAAAAGCTTTTTAATTTATAAGTTAGCTAAGAAGTATAGCTATTTGATTTAACTATTAGAGATACATTCATTGTTATTTAGTCCTCTCAATTTAGAATAAAATTTTTGAGGATTGGTCAGCCAACTCTCTTTTCAATTATCAATTCTGGTGTTTAGAATAACTCGATAAATTAGGTAAATTAATGTAGCCTAGGGTTATTTTATGAAGAGGTTCGAGTGTAATAACTTCATTAATTGTGCATTTTCGAGAAAATAAATTTTGTCCATTTCCTAATCCCAAAACATGATGATACTTTTAGCTTCTTAAGATTGCCTCATATTTTATTTTTAATTTATTAAATAAACTATTTTACTTGTAAATTAATCTTTAAATTATTTCTTTTTCAAAAATAAATTAATATTTTTTTATTAATTTTAGTTAAAACAAAAAAGCAAAATTTTTTTAAGGAAAAAATGTTCAATAAAATATTCAATTCCTCCTCCTCTTCCCTTCCATTATCAACAACAAAATCAACATCAAAAACAACCTCCTCCTCATTAAAATCATCAAAATTTTCTTCATCATTAAAAAGACATTATTCATTTAGTTCAAAATTACGTTCCCTAATTTTACCTTTAATTGTTTTACTTGCTTGCATTTTATTTTCTGCTAGTGAAACAGTTGCAAATGATGATACTCCACAAATTATAGGAAATGCCCAATTCTTTAGACGAAATGCAAAATGGTCAAATCTTCCTTCTGGTGGAGGTTCTCTAGTTAGTGGAAGAGGAAACTTTCGTCCAGGATTTCATTCTTCATTGGATACTCAAGAAATATTGAGCGCTGAACCTCTTTTCTTATTAAAGGTAGGAAATTAAAAAAAATATTTTTTTGATAAAAATAATAAAGAAAAAAATTTTTTTGTAAGACAATTGAACCTTTAAAAATATTTTGGGGTTTAAAATTTTGTACAATTCATTTTTTTCACATTTTATTTTCCCTGGCTTCCCTTGTTTTTAAAAAATATTCTCAAATATTTACTAGAAAATTTGCATTATTATTATTTTAAACAAATAGATTTACGTAAGAACTCTCCAAACCCTTTAAATGTAGATACAAACTATAATTATTTTGCTGGCTATAATTTATATGAGAAAATTTAATTAAGGCACAACAATATTTTTTTCTATTAAATATAAAATTTAATTAAGAAAAAAGTTATTTTTATATTTTTTATAAATTAAATTATTATTTAAATAAAAAAATAAAAAATTTTTTCAGAGGTCGTATCAATTGCCTGAAAGAAAAACTCCATTTGCTATGTTTGATCGTCCTTATTTTACTGATTTTGCAAGAAGGCGATAAAAAAAGAAATCACAAAAAAAGGAAAGAGAAAATGACGTGAAATTAAAAAATATTTATATTTGTGTGTGCAGCTGATCTCAAAAATATTTTAAAAATATATAAACATATATAAATGTATTGTTAAATTATTTAACAAAAAAATTTATTTTTATTTTTTTTTGGAAAGAATTTTTTAGAGAAAGAATTTTCCGTTTTTGTCAAGTCATCGAAACATTTTTAGTTACTTAAAGATAATTTTTATAAAAAATATTTTTTAAGTTCATACAACTTTGTAGTGTATGGGTAAAGCCCATTAACAGCTTATTGTTAGTATTAAAACTTGAGTAAAATGCCCATTTATCTGTTGATGTTACTGCCTTAGACTTCTCTACCTTTATGTACATGTAGCGATCAATTACGATTAAGCTCGTTTTGTTCTGTCGTGGTTCTTATCTAGATAAGCATGAAATGCGTCAAACAAGTTTAGATCCCGGCAGAACAGTTTTTTTAGAAAAATTAATAATTAAAAATGTGGTCGTGTTTTGTTCGGCTCTAATATTCCAAAATTTTATTACATCTCCAATTCAATAACTCCACAATAACATGCATTATACCTTTTCCTAAAATCTATCAAAAAATTTTTTCTCCTTTAGGATTCTATCGTGGATTAAGTTGATAAGCAAAAATTTATGTTGGAAAATATAAAGAATTTTGTACTTCTTTAGTTGCAATTTTTGTAAATAAAATATTTGTTTTTGTACACAAATACATATATATTTTGTTACTTTTATTTGTACAAAAATAAACAAAACTTTTTTTTATTTAATCCCAAAAACATTAATCTAAATAGGATAAAAAATATATAAATATAAATATTTATTTAGCAAAACTTTTTATAACCAAAACCAGAATTTACATATATGTATTTATATATTTAATTTATTTTCTCTTTTATATAGAAAACTACATACTAATATCCCACAAATAATCAAGACAACTTTTTACATTTTATCTTTATAATTTGTTTTTATTAATTATTTAATAGTTAGAAAAACAATTTTTTAAAGAATTGAATTTAAAAATATTTTTCTTCTATTCACAGATATTTTGAAGGAAATTCCAAATGGGACCAAGTAAAGATTGTTTTTCTATACAAGAATTAAATTATAAAAATATAAAAAAATTATTTCTGTTTAAAATTATCCAATATTTTTGTTTGTCCCATTTCATGACAGTCTAACTTCAAACTAAGGGAGTTCGGGTTAGTAATTTAAACCAAGAGTTAGATTTTTATTCTTAATGAAAATTAATTCTTAATCTAATAAGTAGAACGTTCAAGTAAATTTTTTGGTCCTCATTTTTATCGAACAACCTTCGATTCTTTTTCGCGCCAACCCGGGCCGGCACCCCCTATTAATAAATAATAAATATTTTAATTTAATTTATTGTTCATTTTGTTTCAAACAAAGAATTCATTTTTTTGTTCTTATAATTTGTCTATAAATTTTTCATTGTTTTATATAATCTCTGATTATTAAAAAATTATTTTATTTTTAATTAAACTAAATGATTAAATTATTTATAAAAAAATTTTTAAACCAAAATAGACTAATTAAAGAATAAAGATTAAAAAATAAAAAAAATTAATTTAAAAAATTGGAAAAAAAATTTTTTGTTTTAAAGAACATAAAAAATATTTAAAAATTATTTTTAGGTGGGGTGTATTTATGGAAAGGATAATTGGATTCTTAAATTTATGAGAATTAATATTACATTTTGTAAAGTTATTTGGTACTTATCGGTTATACGCCCACAAACTGAGTGTCAGCCGAGATTGATTGGCTTTGTGAGCTTGATACCATCCACAGTTATCAGACCTGATCCATTAAGTTGGAAAAGAGATACCCCTTATCGAGGGCTTTCGAATGATAGATGATTTATTTGAATTGGATCAAGCATCAAAAAGGTAAAGCCGATCAAATTCGGCTGGCACTCAGTTTCTGGGCGTATAGCCGATAAGTACCAGTTTTTTTTAATTTATCTAAACAATTATTTAATTTTTATGGACAAAAAAATTTTTTTAATAAATCTTAAATTTATCGTAACTTCCCATTTTAATTGAAAAAAATAAAAAAGGAGAAGAGAGATACACAAATCCACTAAAAAAGTTACGGAATTTAGGTCATATATTTGTAAAAAATATTTTCTGTGTAGCTCTCCAAACTAGTAAATTAGCTGAGCGGAAAAATAATTAATTTATTTAAGTTAAAATATTTGTTTGTTTTTAATGTTATTTTTATAAACAAATTGATTTCTACTAATTTAAAAATAAATTATTCTTTAAAAGTTAATAAACTTTTTGTGACTTTTTATTTTCGGAATTCTAATTTTAAATATTTTTAGTTATTTATTTCCTATTTAATTTTTATAAATTTAAATTTATCCATTCACTTATTTTCTCTCAGATTTCATTATTTTCTTAGATTCTTTTCAATCTTAAATATCATTAAATAATTCTTTATTTTTATTTTATTAATAAACAAATACCGTATTTCCTCTAAAATAACCCCCTTCTAGGGGTCGATCGAAAAAAAGATAAATAAAAATAGAAATTTTAGAGGAAATACAGTATACAAAATTAATAACCAAAATACTCTAACATTTTTTGCAATTTTTTAATTAAATCAACAACTCGCTAATTATATTATTATTTTCGTAAGTCGAGCAGAGTGTGGTCAGATAAGCAATAAATTAAATTTTAGCCTGAGGCTGTCCATTCCCTTCCTTTACGCAATTTTTTAGGTTGGCCTTGTCCTTGAGCTTGTACATTTTTTGTTTTTGATAAAATAATTTTTTTATATATTTTTGTTTTCAATACATACTTACCTTTCTTTAAAAAACAATTAAAAACTCAATTGACAGCGCTAATTGGATATTAAAAATAAAAAGGAGAAAGATAAAAATATTTTGAACAAATTAATTAATTAAATATATATTTATATTTAATTAGCAATAAAAATGAAGAAAATTATTTTTATTTAATTAAATATGCCTATTTATATTTTCCGTATAATTAAATATATAATTTTATGTATTTTTGAACTTGATATTTAAAAATAATTTTTATTTTCTGATATAATAATTTAATTTTAAAAACATTATAATCTTTGTGTCTATTTGAAAAATTAATTTAATAATTTTTATTTTAAAATTAACAAAGTAAATTTTTAAATTTAAATTTTCTATATTTAGATGGCTAATAATAACCAAGAAATTAACAATGACATCCCTCCACCTCCAAACTTAAATGATGAAAATGGTTCATCAATAGGGAGAAGTATATCTTCAACTGGTAGTAGTGGATTTGCTGAGGAAAGTATTTCTGGAGATAATCAAAGAGGAAGGGAAGAAGATGAAGGAGAAATTGAAGAAGAGGAGAGGGAAAGGGAAAGAGCTGCTTCTGTAGCTGATAAATCTGTTTTGCGTATTGGAATTGGATTGTTTGGTGCTCAGTCTGGTGTGGAATTGGCATCTTCCCCTGTTGATAGATTGTTCGTTTATTTAATTAATAGGGAGTCGAGATAAAAGTAAAAATTGAATTATCCCTCAAAATATAACATTCCAATGTTCCAAAATTTTTTGTTTAGATTACACTCTGAATTTTATCAATGATAATCTTCTATGATGAAATCTTAAGGGTATTTTTATTATGGAAATAAAAGTAGAAAACCATAGGTTTTCTAAAAAACATAAAAAAAACCATTTTTTTCAAAATCATAGTAAACCACTGGTCAAGATTATTTATTTAAATTTAATCCTCCAAATTTCTACATATTTATCTTTAAAATTATTTAAATAATTTTTCCCAATTGAAGACTTGCACGAATTTTTCGTTACCTTGGAGGGTGGATAGCTCAAAAACGACATTTATTAGTTATTTCACTTCTTATTTTAACTTTTATTTGTTCATCAAGTATTCCTTTCACTCCTCAACAGGATGACCTAAAAAGTGGTTATACACCTTTAGGAGCAAGATCAAGAGAAGAATTGGCAAGATATGAACAATTCTTTAGACCAGAACTTGGAAAAACATTAATAGCTGAGGAGCCTATTACTTTGGTAACAAAAAAATATTTTATTCAGTTAACTCTCGTTAGTAGCGACTCGAAATAATTTTTGTAAAATAGCAGAGGGGTTCATTGGGACAGATAAATTATTATTCTTGATTCACAATTTAATATGAAATCTCTGAATCAAATTTATAAATATCGATCTTCGCTCTTTTATTTTAGTTAAAATAATTTTAGTTAGTTTTCATCATTGCTAGAGATAATGGAAGCCTTTTACGTGATTCTTTAATGGAACAAACAGTACAATTATTAGATACATTAGCTAATGATTTTCCGCTTGGTGGACGTCCATTTAATCAATTTTGTACTCATTTTTGTCAAATGAATGAACCTATTAGACAATTTTCTGTAAATTTAATTTTTTTAAATTTAATTAAAAAGTCTGGATATTTTTAACTTGAAGTTACTCCGGCTATCATCCCTTTTGATAAAAATAAGAATTTTTATAATGCCTAGTGCTGGCAGGGTTTAATTGAGGGCCCATTACAGGGGCCTATATTTGTTTATCCCTTTACAGGTATTAGGCCCCTAGTGGCTGGAGATCCGGAGTCGATTGTAGTTACTAATATTTACTTATATTAATCCTGGGAATTCTTTTAAAAAATCCTTGGTACATTTCAATCCCTCTCATATCTTGTAATACATTAAATTTTAACTATAAAATAGTAATTAATTATAAATATTTTTATTTGTAGAATGGACTTTTAGTACGTAAACGTCATTTAGAAGCATTAAAGGATGGTGGTGGAGAGATAAAAGATGGAATTTATTTAAATCTTTCATTTCCATTTATGTCCCTTTTTGGCCACCAAGTCGATTTAAGTCCACATTTCTTTGGTGCTGAAATTGATAAAAACGGAGGAGAATTAAAATATCTTCGTTTGGCTCTTTTACAATTTAAAGCAGATAAACCAGAAAATGTTAATTCTTTTGATGTACTTAGTTGGGAAAGAAAAATTGTTAATTATTTACATAGGTAGGTATTTTTAAAAAGAAAATATTTTTAATTTAAATTTTTATTTTAATATTAACGCTAATCTTAATGTACGATTTTTTCGTCCCCAGGGGCGGTAACTATAATGAGTTTCGAATGTATAAATTAATTCTAAAGATTTTCTTCTAAACGGGAAAATAAGGTTCAAATTTTTGAATTCCAATTAATTTACTTTTGTAAAAATACCTAGGTTAGTTAAAAAAACTTTTTAATTTAAATAAAAATTTATTTTAGTGAATATAAAGGTGATTTACGACCTTTAGTTTTCTCGATGGGATTTGTAGCTGATGAAGTTGTCAGAACAGGAATGACACTTTTCCCTTTTCTTTCTGTCGGTTTTGTTATTATGTGTGGATTTTCAATTGGAACTGTTGCTTTAAGTGGACTTCATTTTAGACAATTTTCTCGTCAAAAAGTGCTCAAAAATAAATTAATTAATTTTATTTCTTTTAAAGGTATTAATGGCAATAATTGCTTGTTGTTGTCCATTATTTGCTTGTGCTACTGCTTTAGGCCTGTTAGTATTATTAAAATTATTTCCGAATTTTTGTTAATTAGGGTGTTTACTTTAAGGACAGCGATTCTGGTTGTGTGACCCTAGTAACCAGAATCTCAGGGTTGCCGTTTTTAAATCAAATAGGATTTCTTGAATCTTTCGAGTCGGATCACTATGGCAGCCTTAATGCTGGTAAATTATATAAAAATAAATGAATTTATGACAATAAAATTGAAGGGAGGATTCTTAACAAATATCAAATATTTTCTTAAAATATTTAAAATTTATTTAAAAAGGTTGTTTTGGTTTGGTGTACGTTTTGGAACAATTTTGTGTGTTTCCCCATTCCTTGTTTTGGCTATTGGGGTAGATGATGCTTTTTTAATGTTGCAAAGTTGGCAAAGGATATGTTCTTTAGCAGAACAATTAAATGAGGAAGAAAAAGAAGAAAATAATAATTTAATAGAATTGGAAGAAAAATTAGAAAAATTAATTTGTAAAAGGTTGGGACAAATGTTGGAGGATGTTGGGCCTTCTGTTACAATTACTTCTGCTACTAATTTTTTAGCTTTTTGTGTTGGTATATTTACGCCGACACCAGAAATACAACTTTTTTGTGCTGGAAATGCTTCGGCTATTTTTGTTGATTATATTTATCAAGTAAGTATTAGAGAGTTTTTTTGGTTAAAAAAAGTTTTTTTTCCTCTGTTTTGTGTGCTTGTTTTTCGAAAATAATTTTAAGAAATAAGTAATTAAAAAAATAAAATAAAATAAGAAAAAAATTAATTTAAAAAATAAAATTAAAATAACCTTCCCTTCCAGGATATCGTGTAAATTTTCCCCTCATTTAAGTTATCTGACTTTCAAGTATTTGGAAATTTATTAATCATAAACAAAATTTCTAGAATGATTTAAACCCAATTTGTATTTATCATTAGTGACCCCCTCAAAATGAAAGAATGCATTTTGGAGAATCACTTATTAAATCTAATCTCAAAATTATTTTTTAATTTTAGTTATTTTTATTTACACCATTTTTGGCAATTTCTGCAAAAAGGGAAATGAAAGAGAATGCTAAAAAGCGTTATCGACATACTTTGCCAGTCCAAAGACGTTTTTTCTTAAAAATTAGTCAAAAACTTGCACAATTCTTACGGGCATATTGTCGTTGGATTTCTAGTGGATTTACTGCTACTTTAGTTGCTACAACGCTTTTAATATTTTGGGGACTTTCAGCAAAATGGGCTTCTAGAGCAATACCTAATATAACACCGAGAAAATTATTTTTGGCTGATTCTCCACTTAATGAGGCAAGAAAAAAGAACTTTTTTTCTAGCTAAAATATTTTTTGTCCATGGGGTTAAGTGAAAAATTTAAGTTAAAACAGTTAAGATTAGTTAATGCTATTAAATAACACTTTGAAGCAACTCCACTGACAAATGACTAAACAAATTTAAAAAGAAAATCATAAATCGAGGAGTATACTGGGAGTAGCTTATAGTGAGGTTCTAACTGTATTTATTTAGTTGAGTTAGGATATCCTTAAAATACCTTGAAAATTAAAATTTAAATAAAAATCTAATAATTTTCATTCTTCAAAAGTGTGCAGATAATAGCTTTAAAAGATGAATATATTATGCCCAGTTATATGCCTGTCTCTATATTTATCGAGAAAGTTGGAGATCTACGAAATCATTCAAAAATGGAGAGAATACAATCTTTAATTGAAACATTTGAAAAAGAGCCGAATAATATGGGGGCTCCTTTTACTCATTTTTGGCTTCGAGATTATGAAAGATATTTGGCTAGTGAAATAGCTGAGGAAGAAAATGATGAAGAAATTGAAGAAAATAATCAAACAAAAAATCAGACTTCAAAACAACCTTCTTTCAGACATTCACAAATGTCTTCGTTTCTAGGATGGCCAGAATATCGGCATTGGAATGGATTTTTACGTTTTAACAAAAATGGACATTTGGAAAGTTTTTTTGTAATTACAGCCTTTCATGGGCCTGCTTTAGTTGAATGGAATAGTCGAGCTAATTTACTTGGGAGATGGAGACAAATAGTTGATAATTATACGGATATTGGAGCTTTTGTTTGGGTAGAAGAATCACAGTTTTTAGATCAAATTGAGACGTTAGTGCCGGCTACTGTACAATCTTCTATTGCTACTTTGTAAGTATGGACGAATTTTTTTATATATCCCCAAAATTAGGAACCCCTCGATTCAAAATATGCCTATTTTTAAGTTTGTTGGCCATTAGGTGGGGGAAATTACTTACAATCTCGAATTATAATGAACGATTAATTCAATCCCAAGAGGTTATCTATAAATAAAAAATGTATTCTCCTTCTCTCGATTTTATGAACAATTATTTACATGTATTAGCCTGACTTTAAATCAGGGCTTCGATCTCGAATTTTTAAAAATCCGCAATTTCGATCGAAAAAATCCGCATTTCATATGAAAAATCCGCAAAAAAATATCAAACACAAAAATTGAATTAAAGTCACATTATGCGTTATATTTTTTGACTCCAACAATTGAATTGAGCAAATTTTTCACTACTAATGACTATCTTATTAAAATCCGAACAATTAAATAAAAAATTACAGTTGACTTAAGCCATTGCTTTCACCGTCCCTACTTGTAATGAATTGTTTACTCGAAAAATCTTCATTTTTTGCGCCGCATGCGAAAATTTTGCGGATTTTGGAAGGCCCAGAAGCCAAAATCGTCCTTTTTCAGCGCCGCAGGCGAAAATATAAAAAATCCGCATAATCTTCAAAAGGGGACACGGACACTATGGCGCGGGCCACTATGGCGCGACCACTATGGCGCGACCACTATGGCGCAAGCCCACTATGGCGCAAGCCCACTATGGCGCGACCACTATGGCGCAAGTTCACTATGCCACAAATCTTTTTCTAAAAGCGGATTAATCTATTGGGATCAACCCAGAAGATCAAAATCCAGAAGGTCATGACCCAGAAGTTCAAAACCCAGACGGTCAAATACACATTTTGGGCGGATAAAGAAGAATTTGTGCATATTAGGACGGATTTGGGCGGATGAAGCAGATTTGTCGAGATTAAGGGGGATTAAGGGACATAGAACGGAAAAACTTTCCTGCAACTGTCGGATAATGCAAAAAGACACTTATATAACCAGACTCATAACAATGTCAGACTTTTTCGGTCCCTATTTTTAGTTTAAAGCTTCGCGCCATAGTGGTCGCGCCATAGTGGGCTTGCGCCATAGTGGCCTGCGCCATTGTGGTCGCGCCATAGTGGTCGCGCCATAGTGGCCCGCGCCATAGTGGGCCGTACCCCTTCAAAAGACCACAAAAATCCGCAAATCCGCATTTTTAAAAATAATCCTCATCGCCCTGTCAAAAAACCACAAAATGAGGAAAAATCCGCAGAAATCGAAGCCCTGCTTTAAATGGATATTGTTATACTGGATTGACGACGACATCAAGAAGAGACGTCAAGAAGATGTCGTCGTCGTGTTGACGACGACGTCAAGAAGATGTCGTCGTCGTGTTGACGACGACGTCAAGAAGATGTCGTCGTCGTGTTGACGACGACGTCAAGAAGATGTCGTCGTCGTGTTGACGACGACGTCAAGAAGACGTCGTCGTCGTGTTGACGACGACGTCAAGAAGATGTCGTTGTTGTGTTGACGACGACGTCAAGAAGATGTCGTCGTCGTGTTGACGACGACGTCAAGAAGATGTCGTCGTCGTGTTGACGACGACGTCAAGAAGATGTCGTCGTTGTGTTGACGACGAAGTCAAGAAGATGTCGTTGTCGTGATGACGACGACGTCAAGAAGATGTCGTTGTCGTGATGACGACGACGTCAAGAAGATGTCGTTGTCGTGATGACGACGACGTCAAGAAGATGTCGTCGTTGTGTTGACGACGACGTCAAGAAGATGTCGTCGTTGTGTTGACGACGACGTCAAGAAGATGTCGTCGTCGTGTTGACGACGACGTCAAGAAGATGTCGTCGTCGTGTTGACGACGACGTCAATAAGATGTCGTCGTCGTGTTGACGACGACGTCAAGAAGATGTCGTTGTTGTGTTGACGACGACGTCAAGAAGATGTCGTCGTCGTGTTGACGACGACGTCAAGAAGATGTCGTCGTCGTGTTGACAACGATGTCAAGAAGATGTCATCGTCGTGTTGACGACGACGTCAAGAAGATGTCGTCGTCGTGTTGACGACGACGTTAAGAAGATGTCGTTGTCGTGTTGACGACGAAGTCAAGAAGATAACGTTGACGTGATGACGACGAAGTCAAGAAGATGTCGTTGTCGTGATGACGACAACGTCAAGAAGATGTCGTTGTCGTGATGACGACGACGTCAAGAAGATGTCGTCGTTGTGTTGACGACGACGTCAAGAAGATGTCGTCGTTGTGTTGACGACGACGTCAAGAAGATGTCATCGTAGTGTTGCGACGACGTCAAGAAGATGTCATCGTAGTGTTGCGACGACGTCAAGAAGATGTCATCGTCGTGTTGACGACGACGTCAAGAAGATGTCGTCGTAGTGTTGCGACGACGTCAAGAAGATGTCGTCGTTGTGTTGACGACGACGTCAAGAAGATGTCGTCGTTGTGTTGACGACGACGTCAAGAAGATGTCGTCGTTGTGTTGACGACGACGTCAAGAAGATGTCATCGTAGTGTTGCGACGACGTCAAGAAGATGTCATCGTAGTGTTGCGACGACGTCAAGAAGATGTCATCGTCGTGTTGACGACGACGTCAAGAAGATGTCGTCGTAGTGTTGCGACGACGTCAAGAAGATGTCGTCGTCGTGTTGACGACGACGTCAAGAAGATGTCGTCGTTGTGTTGACGACGACGTCAAGAAGATGTCGTCGTTGTGTTGACGACGACGTCAAGAAGATGTCATCGTAGTGTTGCGACGACGTCAAGAAGATGTCATCGTAGTGTTGCGACGACGTCAAGAAGATGTCATCGTCGTGTTGACGACGACGTCAAGAATATGTCGTCGTAGTGTTGCGACGACGTCAAGAAGATGTCATCGTCGTGTTGACGACGACGTCAAGAAGATGTCGTCGTTGTGTTGACGACGACGTCAAGAAGATGTCATCGTAGTGTTGCGACGACGTCAAGAAGATGTCATCGTAGTGTTGCGACGACGTCAAGAAGATGTCATCGTCGTGTTGACGACGACGTCAAGAAGATGTCGTCGTAGTGTTGCGACGACGTCAAGAAGATGTCGTCGTCGTGTTGACGACGACGTCAAGAAGTCCACTGACGGATTGTTCGGTCACGCTTTAAATTACGTTGGGAGAACCGAAGCTCTTTAACTTGTCACTGTTATTTCTTTATAAATACAATATAAGCATCACCAAAAATTCATTAAATTTTTAACAAAAAAGGCTTTGTATGTCGATTGTATGCTCTGTTTTTATGTCAAATATATTCACTGTTGCAATTGCCACAATATGTATTGTATCAATTTGTTTGGGAGCATTTGGATTATTAGTTTTGTGGGGAATTGATTTAGATCCTATTTCAATGGCCACAACAATGTAAAATAAATTTTAAAGAAAATTTGATAAACAAATATGTATTCAATTAGAATGTCAATCGGTTTTTCTGTTGATTTCCCCGCTCATGTTACTTATCATTACTATAGATGTTCTAAATTTGATGATGGTCGAATGTTAAGTCCAGAACAAAGAGGTCCTCATTAAATTAAAAACAAAAATAATTTTTTACTTTTAAAGTTCATGCTTCATTATTAGCTATAGGATTCCCACTTTTGCAATGTGGAATGAGTACAATACTTTTTGTACTTTGTCTACTTTTTGTAGACACTTATATGAGTGAAGTAAGCTTCTCCCTTAAATTTTTCTTAAAATTTTTTAAAGGTTTTTGTCAAGTCAATGTTCCTCGTTGTCTCTCTAGGTTTAATTCACGGTTTATTTGTTGTCCCTTCTATGCTATGTGCTCTCTCAAATATTAATTTATTGTTGGAGACAATCAAAAAGGTTGAAGGGAAGAATTAAAAAAAAATCCTTAATTTTTTTAGCAAATTTTTTCCCCATCCAATCACCGCCCATTCTCTGCTAATGCTAAAAGAAAAAATTCAATAAATAGTTATAAATTACAAAGAAAATCAAGCAGTAAATTGGTAATATCGGTTGTTGGTCCTGGTTAAATTTAAATTATTTAAAAAATATTTTTTTAATTATTCTTAATTTTTTTGTTTTAAATCTCATTCAAAATTAATTTAAATAATTTTAAATAAAGAATAAAAATTTAATTTAAAAGCTTTACCAAGACACAAGAGAATATTTTAAATGTGAAATGAGAGAATTAAATGTGTGCTGGTTATTTTAGAGGGGATCTTCTTAATTCAGATAATTTTTAATTATTCGAGAGTTCTTTCCTTTTATCCCATTTGGAATTATTAAAGAATTAAACTCAACAAAAAAGTTAAGCCTAAATTAGGAGCCAAGTCATTTCCTAAAGAAAAATATCCAGCAATGAGAAAAAGTTAATTTACAACCTTAGAATTGTCTAAAATAGGCGTTTATATCTGCTAAAAAAGATTAATCTATAATTTTACAATTTAAATTTCAAAATTTACTTCCCTTCATAAACCATTCTTTTTTTTAAATAAATTTCATCAATTTCAAAAAATCACCATCATCACATAATTTGATTTAAAAGTTTAAACATCTTTCTAACCGCGTGGCAAATGATCAACGGGTGTATCAAAACGAAATTCGGCCGGGAATAATTCTGCTGCTCTAGGCAATAAAAGGCGATAAGTTTGCCTAATTGTATCTTCAGCAACACCGGCAATTTCTCCAATTTCTAAAAATTTATTCAAAATTTATACAAAAAAAAATTCAAAATAAATAAAACAAACCTTTAGCTGTTCGTTTTTCAGCACTAGCTTGTGAAGCCATATAAATAGCGGCAGCGGCAATTGAAATTGGACTTCGACTGAAAAGAGAAAATTTTATTGTCTAAAAATTATTTTACAAATCCCTACCCGGCAACCAAATCAAATTCTACAGCCTTTTTAGCAACTCTTGTAGCCGCTACTTGAACAGGATATGGCAAACTTAAATTTCCACAAAAACGTGACTAAAAATGGAGAAATAAATTTATTTAAAAATAAAACAAAAAAACCATAAAATCAGCACTAGTAATTAAATCCAAATTAGTTTCAAGTGTTTTGGTAATTAACCGGAAACAACGACCAATTTCTTTTTTTGAGACTTTTGAGACGGCACAAATTTCTTTAAAAATTTTTTTTAAATCAAGAGAATTAATAAAAGTAGTTAACCTTTAAATGTACGCGGTACTCCTTCTTCGCGACAAGCAATATACAAACAAGCCTATAAAAATGGAATTGTACGGATAATATTAATTGTTAATTTCTTCCCTCATTTACAATATCAATAATACATGTGACGTATTATTAGAAATATTTTTAGATATTCCTATCTCTTTAGGTAAAATTTTTAAAAATAAAATCAAACCGCAGCCTGAGCCTCATTGCTTTTTCCACGCAATGCTTTAGACTCAAGAACTTCCTTGAAACGTTTAGCAGCTCTATCTTGAATACTTCTTGGCAAACTAATTTTTTCACTCATTTCTCTTATCAACATTAACGCTTGAGTCATTTGACGATCAGAAGAACTAATTAATTTTCGTTGTGCATTTGCCAAACTTTAAATAGAAAATAATTATTAATAAAAAAATAATTATTATACGCTCTATCGCCTTCAGAACCAAAAGCAACTGCAATACTAGTTGAAAGATTTGCACCAGACAGCAATGGATTGTCTGGAGCACCAACACGAGACTAAAAATAATTTTTTAATTACACCCATTAAGGGAAAATTGTGCTAGAAAAATTGTTGTGGGAAATTTTTCTCTTAGAAAACTTTTAAGATCAAGTCTTTATGACTTGTGTTGAGAAATTTTGATTTTGCTTTTACTACCCCGAGTTTTATCCTCGTATCTTCCTAACATTTATTATAGCATATACTCGTCGTTTTAGTACGAGTGTTCCAACACTATTTGCAAATAATTTTCAAACTTGATTTAACTACACTTAAAGTCACCTATTTAAGTACTCAAACTAGCTAACCGGATCATTGCCAGAACGTTCATCGCTGAAAGATCGCCATTCAGTACCAACATCAATTAACCTAAAACAAAATAAACTATTTGAAATATACACTTATAAAAACACCTTTCTCCCACAACCAATCCACATTGAGTGCAAATTAAATCACCTGCCCTATGGTCCTCAACTAAACGAGCATTTGGGTGCGCTGGACATCCAACTTCAGACATTTTTTAATAATTATCAAAATTTTTAATTTAATTATTATAAAATAATTTCATGAAAAAGAAATATATTTAAAGATTTTAAAATCTCTAGAAAAATATAAAGGAAATAAAAATTTAAACTATATATTAATCAAAAAATAATGTGGGACAAGATAAAAAAATTATTCCTTTTTAGATTTTGTTGAAGAATCATCTCCAAGTTCAACAAGAGGTACTTTGCTTAAATAAAAATTTTTTTCAAAAATAACAAAATAAAATAAACCTCCTCTCCTGATATCTTTTAAGCCTTTCTGCTTCTTTCCTTTCTTTCATTTCTTGAAGCAAAAGAGTATGGTCTGTTGCAGACGTCTTAAATTTATTTAATGCTAACTACATTTATTAAAATAAGCAAAACCTTTCTCTTTTCGTCTAATAATGCATCTGACTTTTGTTTTACATTTTCTCTCATCTTATGAATTACTTGAACCATTTCCTTAAAAATAATTTTTATTAGAAAAGTTAAAATTAAAAAATACTTCAGCTTTAGCTGTACGGAATCCCCAAATATTATAGCATGCAGCACGAACGTGTTTATCTTCACCAGCTGTTAACGAATCAAGTAAAGAGCCAACGCCAAATGTAACTTCATCAAATGTAGCCCCATCTAATCCTCCACTAAAAATAAATATTTAATTTTTAGACATAATATAATTTGTCTGATTACAAATAAACTTGACTTTTTAATTAAATTAAAGTACAAAAACTAACCGAACATCTCTAATAAAAGCTTGATGCTCCTTGTCATTAACATAATAATCCCTTGGAGGAAATAGAGCAGCAGCAACACACCTAATGATAAGTATAAATTATTCATAAATTTAAAATATAACATACCGTCCTTCAAAATTTAAAAAATTAAATGTAGTAGCAGCATCCTCCTAAAAACAAAAATAATTATCGGTTACCCAATATCTTTGAAGATAGTTATGTAATTTTATAGACATAATGGATATATTGGCACTATCTGAAAGTAAGGGCGGCATCCAATTTTTTCCATTTTCCTAAAAATATTTTTCTTTCTATTTTTGATTTGTGCCGTCAGGCTATAAACGCAAAAGGATTATTTTTCTTATAACTTGTGTGCGTGTGTGTCCTGTGTGTGAGACCGATGTGTGTCTGTGACCGTGTGTGTCCGTGTTGTCCGGGTCCGATGTGTGTCTGTGTTGTCCGGGTCCGATGTGTGTCCGTGACCGTGTAGGTCCGGCAACACGGACACACACACACGGACACACATCGGTCTCACACACAGGACACACACGCACACAAGTTATAAGAAAAATAATCCTTTTGCGTTTATAGCCTGACGACACAAATCAAAAATAGAAAGAAAAATATTTTTAGGAAAATGGAAAAAATTGGATGCCGCCCTTACTTTCAGATAGATATATTATTTATGGGAAAAAAGATAAACAGCGAGGTAAACATATTAATTGCCAAGATATCCAAAAAAACTGGTAAAGTGAATAGAAAGGAGGACTACAAGAGCCGAAATAAATTTTGGAACAGATTTAAAAATCGCAAAAAAACCAACAGAGTCCAGAATTTCAAATCCAATCCGCGCCTTAGAAATTGCTGGTCCAACATTTCTCCTAACAATGTCAATGTCGGATTTATTCCCTGCTCCAATTAGAAGGATATCCAACTAAAAATATTTATTTTTATTTAAAAAAAGAATAACAAAACCTTTGGTTGTAACATAAAAAATAATTCTAAAGATTCTGGTGTTATATCTGAAGGAGATAAAACACGCCAAGAAAGCGTTGTTTTAGGAAAAACTGCTATAGGGCCAAAAAGAAAGGACTTGTCGACTAGACGAAAACCAACAGAACTGACAGTAGCTATAGAAGTCTAAAAATGAAAATTAAACCGAAAAAAATATTTAAATAAAACCAATTGTTGAGCCTCCATATCTTTTGAAATAAGATTAACTCGAGAAGAGGCGCCAACATCACCATCACCAAAACGTCCAAGTTCGAAATGGAATCTAAAAGGTTTGAAATATTTTATTCATTAGGACTGCTGTGAAAAAGGTTGAGGGTCTATAAATTAGTTGGGCTAAATTATACTAAAAACGGTTGGAGATCTATGAATTGGTCGGGCTAAAGTATATTAAATTATACTAAATTATATTCTAGCCTAACAATAAGAGCCATTTCTTACGATCTACAAACATTAACACAACTCTTTAAGATAGGAACAGTAAAGCTTTACAAAAGGAGTCGTGCAAATAAGTATAAAAATAGGTAAAACTAACTCATCCTTGTTATTCTTTACATCATCCATATCCTTTTCCCATTTCCCGTAAGTAGCATAAAATCTCGACAGTCTCCTATTTCTTAAAAACAACGATGAAATCTTTTGTAGGCGCATTTCTTACTTGAACAAAATATAAAAAATTAAAGAAAACAAATTAAATATCGAAGCAACTTTAGCTATAGAATAAAAAATATAATTTTATCCAAAAAATTTATTATTCAAATAAAGATATGGCAAATCTAAAAAATAGTGTTTTATAAAAAATAACTACAAATTTTTAATTTAAAAAATATGAATTTAGTAAAAATATGTAGGGAAATTATTTAGTGCTGACATGAATGAACACTTTAGTTAAAGACATTAAATTCTAAAAATTTTCTCATTAGGAGCTACTCCATCAGTAGAATTTTAACAGATAAAACACATACTCATTGTCAGCAATAAAATTCTAGTTGACATTGGAAAGGCACAGATTTAAGAGTAAATATTTCGTTAAAAATGCCAAAAAAAAATAAATTTTACAGATTAATTACAATTTAATTTGAATATAATTAAAGTAGGGTTGTCAACCGTCCCCGTCCACTTGTGAGTAAATGGATCACCGTTTACCCTTTCTGACTCCACTTTTTTCCTCCTTGAGATAACAACCCTAATTTAAAGTTAGCTTACTAAAATTCTTTTTTTTTCTAGCCCAAGTATTAAAAATTCAATTAACCTTTAATTTGTTGTGAAAATATTTCCTTTTCATTTTCTTTTACACATTTCTGTCTTCGCTCTTCCTCCTCTTCTTCCCGTTCTAATTGCTTAAGTCTTTCAGCCAAACATTCATTAAAATGTTTGTCATGTTCAGGAGAAATAACATCTAATACTTCCTTTGCATTTTGAAAATAACGCGTATGCAAAGCAATATTGTGATAATCACCTTTAAATATTTCATTTAAAGGTGAAAAATATTTTTCAAAAAATTTTTTATTAAACCGTTCATGCAATCAGAATGTGATGAACATATTCGCCATCCTTTCATTGTAAGTTCAAGAGTGTATGGCTGATCTTGAAATTTAAAATTATAAAAATATGAAAGGTTTTAGGTATAACAAAAAACCTTTGTATGTTTTTATATTTACAAAAATGAGGTCAGCAGTCCGAGGAAGAATTTCAGAGACAGAAATTTGTTTAACCTAAATTATAAAAATAATTAAAAAAATAATTTTTGAAAATAAACATGTGTAGCCAATTCATGAACAGCAGCTAAAGCCTCCAATTCTAAAGATCCATGCATTGAAGCTACACGGCGTTGACCACGTTCCACCTCCAAATGAAGTTGTCGATTAAGAGTAGCAATATCTTCAAGTAAAATTGGAGAACTAAAAAATTATTTTCTTTTTTTCTTAATAAAATTAAAAAAAAACCCAATGCTTCGGCACTGTCTAATTTTTTGAGATAAAGTTCCCTCTGAAGAAAGAGAATCGCCAAATGTCGTAAAATTAAGAGGCGCCCCAGTAGTTGCTGGACTATGCGCTTGACTGCGACTTGATTGGTATATTTTGGCAGCTGATTGCCATCTCTATAATTAGAAAATTTTGATTAAAATCTTTAAAATTTCGAAAATAGAATAATTTAGTCTTAACGCAACATCGGCTAAAACTAATAATTTTTTAATATTTTAATCAATTTAAAGCTAGTAAAAGACAAAAAATTTACATGTGAATCTTGTTGGCGATATAATGGTGAAACACCCAAAGAGTCAGCCAAATAATTCGCTTCTGAGCCAGAAGTAGCTGGCGTACGTGGCGGTTGAATAAGCTGTTGTGGATTTTCGGAAGAGCCAAGCAATTGAGAATTGGCTGAACAAATACAAGAAGTATTTCCAATATTAGCAGAATTCATCAAAATAATTAATTTTTAAATGTCTAAATTCAAAATTATTTTTAATGACATTGAGTATTTCAAAAAATAATCTCCCATTAGGTTTGTGTCTCGTCCCCGAAAGTCGGAAAATTTGGACTTTTTCCTAATCGTAGGCTGAGAATTATTTTCTAATTATTTTTTTGCACGTGAGAATGATTTTAAACTTCGCATTATTCGTTGACTTTCTAAATTCTCAAAATTTTCACCTCTAAAAATCGGAATCTTTGGCGCCAAAAGTAAAATTGATTCCGCGAAAATAAAAATCCCATAAAAATCGAATAAAAATCCCCATAGAAATTTTTCCCTGTCAAAGGATGAATTTTGGAAATCTTAATTATGGAATTGATTAGACACAAAGGTCTCTGAGTAAGACTTAAATTCCAAAGAAATCTTTTATTTGTTAACCAACCAACAGTTTCCTTTTAAGGACAAGCATACATATTTTCAGTAAATGATTTTAAATTAATTTTTCATAAATATCGGAAAAACACAAATTTTTCAAAAAAAAAAACAAAAAAATAGGAATTTAGGTATATACCAACAATTCATTTTTTAATAATAACTTAAAACATTAAAAAAACAAGACCAACAAACAATTATTTTCTGGTCCTTTATTCTTTTTTCTCGTCCTCCTTTTTGAAAGCAAAGTCCGCGGCCATGTGTGTCTTCTTCTTAACTGGACTACCACTACCTTCACCAGAGACATTTTCAGGCAGAGATGAGGAAGTTGCTAAAAAAAGAAATTATTTGAAAATTCGTTTAAATTTTGGAATCAAGTTATTCGCTAATTGGATGTTTCATCTATATTTTTGAAGTTTTTGTCAACTTAAAGAAAATTTTGTGGCCGTTTGCGAACTTTTTTGTGGACACTTTTTTCCCCTTTATAATGCTCAGACTCCCTTTCTTACTTTCTCTCTATTTCCCTGTGGCATATTCAAATGAAAGCCATGGATAATGAAAGGATTAGGTTTTTTAGTCAAGTTTTGTTATTTTTTAAAATATAATCATGAACCCCTATGCTATGCTAGGTGAGTAAAAAAATAACTGTGAGTGAATAAAAAATAGAACTCCCATTCTCATAAAGGTTTTATGGGAGCGCATTGGTTCCAATTGCTTACATTAGGCTGTGACGACAGAACTGAAGAATTAAGTTGCTTTTCCATATGGAAGCGCCATACAAAAAAAAATGTGTGAAAACAAGGTTAAGAAGGTAAATCCTTTCTCGATTAAAGTTTTTAATGAAGGGAATTTTCCAGCAAAAAAGCCCGCAAAAAGCACGTAGGAATAACTGAGTAATACGAAAAAACACTTAACTAACAATAAAAACATTTAGTGAAATCAAACGATCTTAAAGATTTCTTTTAAATAGAAACATACTTGGCATAGATGGTCCAACTTCCGCTTGAGCTTCAGACACGGCTTTGGTTGCTGAAAAATAAATTTTTAAATCCTTGTATTCAAAATGTGTTTCTTGTCGAATTTTTACAAGTTTTGCAAAAGTCTATATTCAACTAAAAGCATTCGTAGTGTAAACCCCCTATGAAAAAATCCTGTGAAAAACTACAAGACACAATATAAGGACCTAACAAAATAAATGCCACCTAAATTTCAAAAGATCTTAAAGGATTTTTTAAATAAAATTTATATTTAAAGCATACCCTGGCCAGCTCCTCTGTCTAATGATTGAATGCCGTATTGCATTGTCTGAATTCTCTTACGACGATTTAAAATACTATCATCCAATTTCGAAACTTTTTGTTCCATTTCCTCTTCCAATTTAACCTTTTTTTCATCCAATTTTGAAACTTTTTGTTCCATTTCCTCCTTAATTTTAGTCTTTTTTTCTTCATCCTTTGTAATCTTATCTTCCTCATCAGCAATTTCCTTCTCCCACATTTTTCTCTTTTTTTCTGCCATGATTTTTAAAAACTAAAATCCTTGATTAACAAATATAACATAAATGAAGAAGAACACGAGAATTTTTAAAATGGGAAATACAAATAGGATTTAAAGAAATAAAAACCTTAATGTATCAAAAAATTGAGAAATGTTAAAATCTAACGTTGGCAATCCAGGAGAATTGGGGTCCCTGCGAAAAAAAAGTTTAAAAATAAGAAAAAGGGTTTTTCTAGAGTAAAAAAATATGCTGATTACGAATCTGAACTCAGATTTTGAAAATTCAAATCCCGAACCCGAATATAGGTCCTCGAATAACGAAAAACCATAGGGGGGACCAAGCTGATTTTGGGGTGAAAAATTCGAATATGCAAATTATACCTTAGGATTGGGGATTTCGAGTCGGGCCGACGTTCGAGTCATTTTTTCGGGCCTCATTTTTATTGGGCCGGCCCGACCGAGTCTTTTTCGGGCCAAAATTCAATGCCCGACTCGATCTTTCGGACCGGGCCGGATCGGGCCCTCAATTCTAATCGGTATACTATAATGGTTTGCGCTATCTACTATATCACTAGAGCTGGGAGCGTTCTTACTTTTTACCTTTTGGTCTTTAAAAATTCTCTTTTATTTTTTCATTTTGTTACGTCCTTTTTTTTGTGTCTTGTAGATAAGGATAACTTTACTAGGAAAAAATGTAAGTATAGTCGAATCTTGATAACAAGCACGTATTTTCACTCCTTTATTACGTCAGTACAATTCGGTTCCGAAGAATTATTTTAGCTAAATTTGACCCAATAGCAATCTTCCATTAAAATGTCAGCTCAATTTGATCCCGATGGTGATCTCTTATCGAGATTCGACAGACTTATGAAACAGGTTTTAAAACTTTGCTATAGAGGTTTTCTCTTCTTAACAAAATACCTAACAAGTACCAAACAAAATAGGTAAGCGTCTTCAAAAACTTAAAGTTCTTTTAATAAGTTAAATTTAAAGCATACAAGGGTCAACTCCCGCACGATCTAACGCCTGAATTCTGAATTGCATCGTCTGAATTTTCTTTCGACGGTTTACAATACTTTTATCCAATTTTGCTTTTTTTTGTCTAAATTCATCATCTACTTTTGCTTTTTTTTCTTCTTCCTTTGAAATCATTTCCTGCTCATTTTCAATTTCCTTCTCCCACATCTTTCTCTTTTTGTTTTCCTTGATTTTTTCAGCCTAAAATCTTTGTTGACAAATGTCAATCATCAAAAAACGGAGCGAACACAACAATCCAAAAAGGGGTTTACCAAAAATGAAACAAATATAGCGGGAAATTAAGAGATATAAATTTTAATTAATGGAACATTTAAAGAACAATATCAAAAGATAAATCAGGCTTTAAGTTGAAACAAAGGATAATTATTTGAGCATAGGTATACGGTATTCAACTTAAGTATTTTTTCAATTTTGTTATAGTAGGAGTCATTTGATAACTTTAATCAAGCTGGATAACTCCGACCATTAGATAACCGTTAACTCCTTCATCAGAATAACACAATTTTTACCAATTTCTTTCAAAAAAATCCCACCAATCTTTTCTTCAAAGCCTTTCCACAAAATGAGTAGAATATTTTGGAAGAAATTAACACATTTTCTTTGACTTTCCAAACAAAATATTTTTGTTGATTTAAAGTATCATTTACTTCTTTATTTATTATCAAATTTGGATATCCATCAACTGATTTTAATATTTCTAAAATTAATTCAAATGGAATTTGTTTGTTTTGTTGCTTTTTTGTTAAAGTCATTTTTAAGAAATACAAGAGTTTTGTTGTTTTTTTTGGTTGTTATTTTTTCACATATTATTTTTAGTGGAGAATTTTATGTATTTTTTGAAATTTTCAGAAAAATTTCTATTATAAACAAACAAAATTTTTATTAATTTAAAAATCGGGGCTGTTAAAAAGAACAAAAAATTTTTAAAAATTAATACCGTACAGAAATTCTTATAATTTCTCATTTTTATCTTCTATTTTAGGCTTTAGAATGACAAAATTTAGTGAAAACCAAGTATGGATTTTCTATGCATACATATTAAATTATGAAACAATAATACTTACATATGTATATGTAAATAAAATTAATCAAGTTTTTTTTTGTGTATACAAGGGATAAATAAATTTTTTAAATAAATTACTAATTTTCTTTAAATGAACATAAAGCTTTAGGATTAACAATTTTTGTTGGATCGATAGGTAATATATATTTTGGCGTCGCAGTAAATATCCAAAGTGGGAGAGCACAACAAATAAAGGCATAAAGGAAAAGGCAAGCTCTGTCTAAAGACATTGCCATAAAACGCCAGTCAGCCTTTGCTTCCTCCTCCTCTTCTTCTTCATCCATTTTCTGTTGGGATAAATGTAGATAATCCGAAAGTTCACGAAGTGTGGAACGTAATAATTCTGTAGTTCCATATTCGGATATTAAAAACGAATCGAGTCGATCTTAATTTTTTTGGAATCTTTTCTAAAATCCATTCAAGTCTCCAACCTTCAAGAATTCTCTTTCCTTTATCTTTACTGCCTGAATTTGCTGTTAATAAAGGAGTAGAAGGTTTTTCCATTATTAATGTTGATTCCTGTGTATATTGTTGTCGATTTAAACCAACACCTAATGAGCCTCGACTTGTACTTGAATCGCTAGTTTGTAATGTTTTCTATAAAAAATGTTCTTAAAATAATTTTTAAGGACTAATTAAATATACAGGGAAAACACGTTGTTTCAAATGTTCTCTTTGCTGTAATTCAATCTGTTGTTCAGACGTCCAAGTACCAGGTCTTTGTCGAGGTGTTCGACGTTTACGTTTTGGCTTTCGAAATTGTTTCCCCTGATATTTTCTTGAAAATATTTTTTCTCAGAAAAAAATAACCGGTCTATTCATAAGTAAAAGCCAAGGCAACCATTCTAAGAAAATTGTGCGTACCCACGGCGTCATCTGAAGAAATTCGGGAATGTTTTTTTTGAATTTTTAAATTACTTTATGTGTTCGAGGAGAACGAAAATGTACATTAATTATAAGTAAAGTAAAAATAATTGAAGAACCAAGAATCACCATTGCAATAGAAAAAAAGGCGGCAATAATTGGAACAGAATCGGAAGTTGGGGGAGTTATGTCTGCAACCTTTTATGAAAATATTTTATTTTTTATTATTTATTAAAGTACCATTCCAAGAAAAACTGTTACGGAAAGAAGATTTGTTGTTTCTAAGATTTTAATGAAGTTATTAATAGATACTATTAACACAGTAAACAAACGTAAAGTTATTTTTTCGCCACATTCCGCCGGCATAGTGAAACCTTTAAAAAATTTAATTAAATTTTTTAAAAATTTTAGAAAACCCAAAACATTGGTCAATAAAAAAAGCACACTGGGAACTATCCAATTCATTCCATAATAAATTATTTTGCGTTTAATGTGTATATACTTTAATTAGAAAATATAAAATATTTAAGAATACAGTCTCGAATCTCAATAAGATGCCGCCCTTGTAGGAAGAATTGGGCCACGAAAAAGACGTGATATTATCGAGATCCGAATATATGTAATTATAAATTACAAAATGTAATTCAATAAAAGAATCCCCTTGATCGCCAAAAGGAGGAGTTGAAATATTTGCCGGCGTTGAAATTAAATCCCATTCTCCATTAGTTACATAATAGGTAATATCTTTTAAAAGAATTTATTTTTTAATTTTTTATTTAAATTAACCAATGCTATGTTTGTGTTTGTCTTCCTCCCTTATACCCTCTCTGTCAATACACAAATCTAAAGCATATCTTTGATGTGTCCAGGGTCCAAACTTTTTATCATTTTAAATTCAAAATATATAGTAAAGCAGATTGTATATAGCTATTTCTCTCCTTTAGCTAATGCATAAGGTTATTCGGCGACTGGGAGCGAACCATCATTAATTTAAATAAAAAATTAAAATGTGTTCAGTAGACCGGATTGAGTGTATCCGGTCTCCAGAGAGTTCCAGTAGGAAATTGAATTTGTTAAAATTATTACACCACGCCGCCTACTGCACAGCCTTAGGAATTAAATAGCTACTATGTGCTTTACAATATATTTTTCTACCTACCTTTAATAAACACATTTGTTCGTCGAATGGAAACCTGACAAATAAAAGATTACTATTTTTTATGTTAGGAACTGACCATGTTATGTCAATTTTACATGATGATTTAATAAGTGCTGGAGGGGAATATAAAATACTTAAAAAATTTTGATAATAAAATTAACTAATATAATTTTAATTTAACCTTCCATCATTATTAACTACAAAATTAACATCAAATCGAGCATCAAAATTCTCATCAGCACTTTATAAAAAATTAATTAAAGTCCCGGTTCCTTAATTAAACAAACCTATTAAAGAGAAGAACATCCGGTCTCCAGAGAGTCCCAGTAGGAAATCGAATTTCTTAAGATTAAAGAAAGTAAGAGGAATATTTCTTAAATTAAAAACTTTTTATTCCCCCATATTCTCGAGGGTCCCAACGCATTTTATAATCGAACCATCGAAATTCCTCCCAAAGCACTACTGTTAAAACTTGATTCTTTTCATCCTTAATTGACTATATTAAATTAGGTAACCAAAATAATATACTTACAACATCAACAATTTGTTGTAAATAAAGATGAAGGCTTACTTTAACCTAAAGAAAATATTTATATTTTTTTATTTTGTTAAATTAACCGCTTCTGTATGGTTCTGTACTGGCCTTTCAACTTAAAAAATAAAACAAAAAAAAATTTTTTAATTTACTTGGATCATAACGCTCCTTCAAATCTTGCAAAAGCCTATATTCATCATCCGAGCAATTAACAAATAAAACTTTTAATATTAAAATATTAATAATTACTAAGGCAAAACTCATTACTATTAGGTCTTAAAAATTTATAATTAAAAATAAAATAATTATTTTTACTGGCCAATCATTAGTTTAGTTAAATAAAGCAGCGCAAGCTGTGTTGCGTCTTCCTGCGCGCTTTTGCCTTTCTATGATTACAAAATATTTAATCAGCTTACATCTACAAAATTAAAAACAATGTTATTAGACAAGAGGGAAAACAAAAAATTTAATATAAAGCTTTATGGGTGAAGGGGTTTGAGGAGAAATAAATTTTATTTATCTAACAAATATTTCACAAACCAGGTTTCTAAATTACAAAAGAATTTTTGGAGGTTATAGAAGCATTTTAAATCAAGCTGAAAATTGATTCTTTAGATTTCCAGATATGTAACCAAAATTTCCCCAATAATTCAGTTTCTCAGTTATCTATTCCATTCCACATTTTTAAATATTAATAGATAGATTATTGATATAAAATATTTATTTCTATCACGTTTATAAAAAGATGTAAATTTTAATATATCATGTCTGTTTTTATTTTTTATTTAAAATGAAAATTTATATAGGAAATACAGGTGGAAATTAATATATAATGAAATAGTTAAATATTATTATCCATTAAAATATTTATATAATTCTATATATAAGAAATTAACGTCATAAAAATAATAAAAATAATTTGAGCAGATAGAGGTATTTAATGTTATTTTTTTTTAATAAAAAATTAATTTTTAAGGACAAAATCTAAAATTGATGGAAAGTTAATGATTAGAAATTATATTTTTGAATTAAAAAAATATGAAGAGAAATATTTGAAAACGGAATTTCCCATTAACTTGATCAAAAAAAAATAAATTCTATTTCAAAATATTTGTTCTTGGGTCGGTCTTAATTCAATTTTTGAAGGGATTATGGCGAATTGCAGGAAGTGATATAATAAATTTTGGTCAATACCGTTTTCAAATTTTACATACAAATACTATTTAATAGTAAGTACATACACAGATTTATGCAACTGGGTTAAAATTAGGGAAACAAAATTTGGGTTGGATAAAATTAGAATTAAATAACCAATTTTAAAAATCAAAACAAAATTTTCTAAAAATTAAATCTGTAACTTCGTTTCAATTTAAAGATGTCCAAAGCATTTTAAATTTTTCTGGCGAACCTATTTTTATTTAAAAACTAAATTTATTCGTTTAAAAAATATTCTCACAATGTTGATTAATTGAGGGAAATTTTTGTCAGTAAAGTGCTCTGTTTGTGGACTTTGTACAATTGCTTCTAATGTTTCTTCATTTACTGCTATGGCATCTTTTTTTGTTGGCTAGAAGGAAAGGAGGGAATGTGGGTTTATTTATTTAATTTTGGAAGAGAATCTCTAAGTTATCACATTGTGATTGTGATCATCAGAATTATCGAGGATAAAACCAAAATATTGAGAGATAAAGGTAAAGCGAGACCAAAAGGGAGAGGATAACATAGAGATTCGAATATTTAAATAAACTCACAACAACAGAAACAGAGTAAATTTTGAAGCCTTGAGCTTCTGCCAATTTTGCTTCTTTACCTGGATCCTATATTTAATTGATATTTTTAGGAACAATTTCTTCAAACTTACAGGTCCTTTATTCTGCCATCCATCAGTGAAAATAATCATTATCTTATTTGCAAGTCCAGGTCTCCCCCCTTTATGAACGTCTGCTTGTTTTGCACCTTCATGAATGCCTTGACCTAAATTAAAATTTTTAATAAAAATAATTCTCAATTTAACACTTCATACCAACAGAAGTAAGTCCACCAATATATTGAACATCATGTATTGCCTTCATTACCTAAAAATCCTTTTTAGTTTAGCAATCTTTTTAAAATTACCTGCTCCCCAGTTTTGTATTGTTTCAAGTCAAAATGAGTATGTGTTTTGCCAGGACTACTAAAAGTTATAAGAGCAACACGTGTATGTCTGGGAGAAACATAAAGTTGAGAGACTAGTTGTTCTCCAAGACGAATATAATCTTTATAGACAGGCTCTGTAGTTGTAGAAAAGTCAAAAACCTTTGAAGAAAAAATTTTTTTAAAGAATAATTTAGAAGAAATAAACATACAAGAACCAAATCTTGTTCACACCCTGTAAATGGATTTGTTGTTGTAGTTGTGGTGGTTGTTGTAGTTGTTGTCGTTGTGGAAGTTGTAGTTGTTGTTTTACACTTTTCCTGTGCTTCTCGCAGTAATTTCCTCGTAACAGCCTCAGCCTGTGTTCTACCACTTTGCATAATAACATGGTATTTTTGTCCGGCAATGTCAAGTAATTCTTGTCTAAAATAAATATTTTTTTGGATATTTTAATATTTATTTAAGGGTTTTCTTCTATGAACATAATTCAAAAAAATTAAAAAAATAAATCAATTGCTTTTTGTTTTCGGTTAACAAAAAATTCGCGCAGCAATGATTGTTTAACGCGCAATAGAATTTTTAGGTTTTTTGTTCTATTGTCTAATAATTTAAAAGTTTTCCTATCACTTTCATCAAGATACCGTATTTACTCTAATTAAATGACATCTCTAATTGAATGACATCTCTAATTGAATGACACTTTTTTGGGGTATATGAAAAATAGAATGACAGTCTCCAGTTGAATGACATCTCTAATTGAATGACATTTTTTAAATATTAACTATCTAACTCTTATATCACTATCCCCTTTATTAACTAGTTTATATTCCTTTTTAGTATGGATAAATGTGATATTTTTGAAAGGATTAAGAGGGATATTAAGCAGACTATGAGGGATATCATGGGATTCGGGAGGAAAAAGAGATATATCAAGAGATAAAAAGATTTGGGGAAAATATCGAGAGATTGAAATGATTAGAGGACGTCTTAGCGATTCGTAGATCAAGAGGGATTAAGAGGGTAAGTGAAGGATTTGGAATGATATAGAGGATTTGAAGTATATCAGGTATATAAGATGAACTGAGTCATATCTGGAGATATTGATGGATTTGGATTCTGATATTTTTAGATATGAATAATCTTAATATTTTGTAAAAAAGAAATGGATGTCCTTCAAATTACTTATATCCATTAAGTCCTACAAATATCTACAGCCCTACTATCTCTCCTTAATCACTTGATATTCTCCAAGTCCTTCAATATTCCTCCGAATCCCAACAAAGTTCCTGATGTCCATTATCACCTAATATAATCCTTCAAAATAACTCTAAATGACAGATCACTCTATATCATGACCAATTTCCTCAATGGCACAAACTATCGAAACCCAAATGTCTGTAAAATATTAAAAACCTGCAACCGAAAATTTCGAAAACCAAACTAGAAAACCAAAAAATCGGTAAAATTTCGAATTCAGAAATATTAGATAGGATATTCGATTCATCCAATCTGTATTTCTGACCTATGAAAAATAAAATGACAGTCTCCAATTGAATGACATCTCTAATTGAATGACACTTTTTAGGGGTATATGAAAAATAGAATGACTGTCATTCTATTAGAGAAAATACGGTATATTAAATGTTTCTCAATTAATATTAAAAATATTTAAACAAAGAAGAAAACTTGAAAACATAATAAACCACTATAAAACCTCTCAAAACATTAACAACAAACAAAGCCTTAGAAAATGTCCTTGCTAAACATTTCTATTAAAAATACTCTGACAAGTTTACCAACATTTTTGACTACAAACAAAAAATTAGTAACTCAAAACTTAAGACACCGATACGTTTATAGCTATTGTTGTGAGTAACGCCAACTCGTTTATTTATTTCCCCAATTTTATTTTTATCGGCAAATGATTAATTGACATTTCCAACGAGGAACATTTAGCGGGTTCCCTTTTTTTGATTTTTTTTACTTTTTTTTATTACACAAAGATATTATTTTCGTTGAATTTTTATTTTTAATTTTAATTCTTAATTTATCTTTTTTTACTATTTTAAAAAGTTTTATTTTTCTTTAAATTGAATAAAAAATTAATTAACTTTTAATTTATTGGCGGTAACAATTTTTTAAAATTTTGAGAACCTGAAATTAGGAAAAGGCCAATTAAAAATAATGAACTAAGGAAATAAAAGCTCCTTAGTAGCGACTATGAAATAATACAAGGAATTTCCAAGGGCTGATACTCGATATCAATATAATCATAATTATGTATATCAACCTAGTCGTGATACCAAGTAAGCGATTAAAATTATTATCTCAATATATAAACTCACTTATTTGCCAAATGGGGATCACCGGTAGCTGCAGCAAATACCCAAGTATTTGGAATTCGTTGCAATTGTTGTGATGGCTCCTTTGGATCGACTGCACTTCTTCCATCTGTTACAACCATAACTAATGTTGGAATTGTTTTGTTTCTTGTTTCCATTAATTTAACAGCAAGTTTCATTGCTTCATATGTATTTGTTGTTCCTCCAATTGGTCTGATATCTTTTACTATTTTTTTAAATTCCTAAAAAATTATTACATAAATATTTTTGAAAAAAAATATTTATATTTTACTTCATTATTCTTTGCAAAATTCCATGGGTAAATTTCTCTCCTGTAATGGTTGCCTGAGTAAGTAATCATAGAGACCTGAAACATATTAGGTAATAAAATTTGGAAAAATACAAAACTGGTAAAATAAAAAATTATTAAGGTCAAAAAAAGAAAAATAGATGGAAGGATAAAAAATCAAAAAAACGCTAAAAAAATTGAAAATTCGAAGATAATAATCATAAATTCTCAGAATATTTTTTTAAAAATAATTTTCAAAAATAAATTTTATTTACGTACACTGTGTGCATGTGGTCCAATATTTAATTCTTCAGATGCTGCCAATACGAAGTCCCTACTTCGATTAAATCCACCAAGAACAGAGTCTGATCGATCCAAAATAATCATAACATTTAAATAACAGCTAACAGGGAAGATTGTATCTCCTCTTGGCAATTGCTGGGCATTTACTGTTGTTTTTGTACCAAATATGAGAAAAGATAGGAGAATGGCGAGGAGAAGGGGAGGGGCCTAAAAGGAACTTTATCTCAATGAAATCAGTATTTATTAAGATTAAAAGGATCAAATAATGTTAATTATTAGGGAAAGTTGGATTTGAGTTAATATGTATTTTGGAAAAATCATTATTTCAATAATGGTGGGCTAGGACAAATTGGAACTTGGAGCAAGATAAGAGGGGCTTAAATAAGGAAAAATCCTTATAAGGAAAAATACTTATAAGCAAGATAATAAGGATTTGTTGACTCAGACTCGTGGATCAAAAAATTAAGATTTAGGTCGATACCAAGAGAACGGTCCTTGAATGCCTTCTAATTTGGAGTTTTTTAAGGGTTTTAAACCCTTTATTACTTAAATTAAATTTATAAATTAAATTATTAATTATAATTTAAAAATAAAATTAAAAATTTAAACCAACAGATTTCATGCTGTGCTTGTATAAAATCATCGATATACATCGGATCATTGTTGTCATAAAAGCGGAACAATTAAGTGGTTAACCGCAGAATGTTTTACCCACTTTTTTCTTCCTCACAAAAAATAATTTTTTAATAGGGAAATAATGAAGACTATAATATTAAACTAATAAAAAGTGAAATATATGCTTATAATTGTAATATTTTAAGAAAAAGTAATGGCAAAAATAAAAAGAAACCATAAAATAAAATTTAGGTCGGAACGGGGGGAATTGGCCCTTATATGAAAAGAGAGACAGAAATTGAGAAGAAGAAGATGATGATACTCTTTTTGTTGATTGGCGCCAGTCAATCGGGTCGAATAATCGAGACCAAATAAAATGATCACCACAGGTGTTGTTGTGTGAAAAAGAGCCTCAAGCAATTGAGGAAAAAAGAGAACTGTTTGTTTGAAGGGAACCGCTAATGAAAAAAAGGAAGAAGAAAAAGATAGGTTGCGCAAGAAAAGTGCAGTGATGGCCAGGTAAAAGTGTAAAAATAGGGAAACGTTTTGACTAAATATTACTCTCGTTTTCCAGCTGATGTGAAGATATAAAAGTGAAATTATATTTATTTTAATAAATAATGTTGCTCTAAAAGGTAGAAAATTATGGTCTCAAAAAATAAATAGACAGTTTACGTAAATAAAAATAAAAATAATTATTTTGGATACGGAAAAGTTGAAAAATGTGAAAATAAAAAGGTCTCAAAAATTATGAAGGGTAGGTAAAAAATAATATTTTTAGAAGAAAACGTGAGAGAATAATTAATAATTAAAGAGAAAAATATTTAAAACTAAAAATGTCTGTCTTTTAACAAAAGAAAAGGAACGGTGATTTTGATTGTTTTTGTGTTTTATAAAAATATAAAGCAAATCAAAAAAGAAAAATCAGCGTTTAGAAGCGAGGACGAAAGACAAGGTGGTCGACCTCAATTATTTATTTTTATTGTTTTTTATTTTTATTTATTTTCTCCTACTATATTTTCCTTAAAGCCATTAAAAATGCGCATAAACATTTTTAAAAGACCTGTTGTTGTTGTAATTATTTAAATCTTATTTTGTTTTATTTCTTCATTTTATTTATTTACTTATTTAATTGATATTTTTTACTTAATTTTAAAATTTAATTACACATTTACATACAAGTTTATTAATTATTACAAACTTGGAAATAAACAAAACGATAGGCTACAAACATTTCTTAAAACATGTTTAATACTAACAAAATTAATAAAACTTAAGCTGTAAAACTTGATTAAAAATAAACGTATTAATTTCAAGTTTACAATTTCCAAGTTTTGAAAACTTTAAATATTACAAACTTTAAAATACAATATAAATTAAATTTATTCAAGTTTGTAATATTTAAACTTTAATTAAAAATTAAAATAAATTCAAGTTTTCAAGTTTGTAAGCTCAAGTTTTAATTAATAACAAACTCGAAAAATAGACTTTAAGAGTTTTCCAAATTTATTGTTAGTATATTTATGAGGAAAAAATTATGTCAAACTTTTCAAGTTTTCTGCCCTTTTTATTTGACTATTTTAAGTTCAAATAATTAAAGGGCGGAATATTTTTTAAACAGATCAATTTTCACATTAAAAAGTTTAAAAAATTTTAATTATTTGGCGAACACATGATTTAATTGGAATTTTATATATTTTTTAATTTTGTCATTTAAATTATTAAATTTAAAAACGCCTTTTTCTTCCTTTTTGATTTTAAAATTCTTTGAAATTTAAATTTGAGGGAATTATTGTAATAATGTGGATATTCTCGCCCTTTTTGGGAATTTAAAAAAAAAATAAAAGAAATTAACCTTGAATATTTTTGGATGACCATGAAAACACCTACTTATTTTTTTTCCAGAAGATTTTTATTTATTTTATCAGTCAATAAAATCTTTTGTTTTATTTTTTTAGTACCTAATATTGATTGTTATATTAATTTTAGTAATTGATTTTGATTTGTGAATTTCTTACAACACGAATAAAATTCTATATTTATCTTTATCATTTTATTAATGGACTATTTAAATTGGAGGGAAAATGTTTTATATTATCACAGTTTAAATCACAAAATTATTAAAAAAATATTTTGTCAAAACTCTCTTTACGTCATATTTTAAAAAACCTCCAAAAAGGGGGAAGGAAAGAACAAAAATACTATAGCGGCTAGATTCTAAAAAGATTTAAAAATCTGTTAAATTTTTAAAGACATAAGGCAGAGTATGACAGCATCTTTCAAATTCTTAGTTATGTTCTTTTGTAGTTTTTATCTCTTCACCATTTCCAAATAAAGCCAAAGCATTGTTTAATAATTTACCAATTTCAGAGGATAATTCATTGTTTAATTTCCAAGCAAGTTCCCCATCCTTTGCAAGTTGATGTAATTGAGAGAAATCGCTTAGATCAACAGCCCAAAGAAACACTTAAAAATACTAGGTAATTTAAAAAATTAAAGTGGAACGGGGAGTGGAGGGGGGGGGGTATTGGAATGATTTGTTAATATTTATTAAATTAGCATTAGTCAGTTTTGATCGAACAATTCTCCCCAACTATTATAAAAAATTCTTATCTCAGTCCATGCATTATCTGTATCCTGAGGCCATTCTGGCCATAAATTCTCTAATATTACTCCTCCAGATAAAAGATTTTCTCCACTAATAACAGCTATAGGTCCATCTCTTTGGCCTGGCAAGAGATTAGTTTTACAACTAATTGTGTGTATATCTGGATCGGGAAGTCCAAGTTGTAGAAGTAGCTGGGCAAGGTATTCGTCAACTATTTGAGGACCAGGAGAAAGTGCCCAACGTGATGGAAGTCGACCAGAAGGCATTTGAACGAGTACCTTAAAAATAATTTTTAATACCCCAAAATATTCTTAGACGCTTTGGCATATATCTCCATTTGGAAAGTATAATATAAAATAATTAGGTAACTTGAAAGTAAATAAAGAGTGTAAAAATAAAATAAAACTTAACATTAATTAGGTTAATGTCATTTGAATTGGCACTAAAACTTGAATTGTTACTTGAATTGTCAATAGAATCATTAATATCACAACGTTGAAAAAGCGCGTATAGAAACAACCGATTAGGCCCAAAACGTGGAAAATTGCCACAACCAGCAAGACCACAACGTCCCGATGGATTTAAGGGTAAACCATTTCCATTTAACATAATTCCATCATTTAATATATTTTCAGATTTTCCTTTATCAATTAAAGACAAAAATTGGAAAAGTCTTTTCTGCCTCCATTGACAGCCAATATCCAAAAGATTTTGAACTGAAGCATCCTGAGCATGTTTTTGTAAGTCTATAGGAAGTTGGTCAATTGGTAAAGAAAAACTGTTTGGACGGTAATGAGGTAAAAGTCGAAGCCAATTACGAAGAGATGGGTTGACCTAAAAAATAAAAATGGAATCTCTAAAGGAGATGGATAAACAAAGATTTGATACTTTCAATTTCAATTACTCAATTTACTTTTAATTTTGATGTATCTTTAATATATTCCCATCTTGATTCCTTTTCTGTTTCCAATCGTTGGGTAAAAACACTAAAATCGAGTAAAAGACTTGTTTTGTCTATTTCTGTTTTTTGTTTAATTTCCTCAGTTTTATTTTCTTTATTTAACTCATTCCATAAATTTATAGCTAAATCACGCCAAAATCCACCACTTGAACGATAACGAAAACTTTGTACCTTAAATATTAAAATTTATTTTTAATATTTATAAATAAACCGAAGGGTTCTTGTAAACAGTACAGTATTTTCTTTTTCCAAAATTTTGTGAAGTATTCAAATCATTATTATTTTTTAATCCATTTTGTGAATAACAAGAAAAATTACCAGAAGCACCAAATTTGCAACAAGCTAGAATAGCAAGGAAAATAGGAGTTAATGGAGGTGGCAAACATGGACGTAAACTTAATAAACAAAGAATTATATTTCCAAATTTATTTTTATTAGAAGATATCTCATAATTTTTAGATCTGAAAGAATTCTAACTGAATCTATGATCTTTCCTTTTCAAAATCTCTTAAAATATATATTTTACTGGAATAAAATAAAATAATATTTAATGATTCTTTTTTTACCTAAAACCAATTATTAAAGAATATCTCTGAGTTATCCAAATATCTTCAACTTCTTTTTTGTCTAATTTAAATAAAGCACTAATTAGAATTGCTAAAAGTAAAGGCCAACAAAATAAATTTAAAAGAACAAAAAATTCAATCAAAGAAAATTTAGCAAGCCAATGTTGGGATGGACAGCGTGGATTGGCATATCCACCTAAGGCTTGGCAATAAAGTCTATTTTCGGGAAGCAATTGGCGTTGGCATTCAATGGATTGATGAAAAATATCTTTAAAATAAATCTTTATATTTATATAATTAATAGAAAAGTTATAAATTTTTGAAGTGATTGGAAGGGAATTGCCTTTATGTTGATTACTAGAAATGATTAAAATATAAAGGAAAAAGCGGAGAATCGGCAAGAAATTCCTTAATTTATATGTGCGTTCGAAGCTTATTTCTACTTCCTTGGGTTTGAAAAAAATCGCACTCTATAATCAAAAGTTCTTAAATCAATGGGTACCCCTTAATGACCAGTCTAATTTTAAAAAAGGTACCATCATAAGAGTATATAAAAATGGGACTCGACTGAGTAAAGACAAATTAAACTTTTATCATTTCCTCATTAAATAAGCTTACTCAAATCAGTCGTAAAAAATTGTTTAAAAGTCCAAACAAAAGTTTCTCCCATAATAAAAGGTTGTGCACTAAGATCAGGAAACAAAACAGATTTTAAAACAATTGTAGAAATAATTATAAATAATAAACTAAACATCAAAAACGGCAACAAAATTTTCCAAAACATTAAATTAATTTTAATAAATAATTGTCCAAATAATTTAAATAAAGGTAAATAAATATATAAACTTTTAATAAATTCAAATAACATAAATAATGACCAAAATATTTTTAATTCATAAGTTAATGATGAAAAAGAAGAAGAATTATTTTTTCTTCCAATTGATGAAGTAATTAATAAACGAATAATTAAAAGTAATAAAAGAAATGTTGAAGTTATGATTATATCAATTAATATATTTAATCTTTTGCCATTCCAATTTATTTGTTGAGACCAACAAACATAAACCTAAATTAAAAAATTTCCAAGACTCAAAACCAGTACCAAAAAATCCTAGAATTTTTTCCAATCCAAGAAATTGGAGATCCAGGACCCCGAAAATCTAAGAAAAAAATCCGAAAAATCAAAAAAATCCCATTTTAAATAGGTTTAATAAATATGTAGTAATAAATATTTATTAAAAATCACTTTTGTAAATATTCCCTTAAAATATTACAATATATTTTAAATAATACAGAAATGAATATCCAACATTTAAAAGGCATCCTACATTTTAAGAGCCAATCCAAAATAACCAAACTACTAACTTTCAATTAAAAATGATCAAACCATTCTACCATATTTCACTCCGTTTAATTATCCATCTTTAGTATTAATATAAAGGATCAAAAATATTTATTATCCTACCCATTTGTAAGAATTTTAGTCATTAATTAATAGATTATTTACCCAAATAGAGTCAATAACCCAACATAAAGCCCACAGCCAAATAAATTGTTCAATCCATCCAGATAAAAAACATCCCGGCTGAGCAACAGCCCAACAAAGAAAAACAAGATAAAATAAACGAAACACTAAAGATAACCAATATTTAACTATTGGTGTTGAGTAAAATAAAAATAAAGTTTTTGGAGTATTAATAATTGAAGGTAAAAATAAGGAAGAAATTTGTGGAGAAAGTAATCGAAAATTGGAAGTAGTCCCATCAATTCCTCCAGCTCCCCCAGCAGAATTAGAACCAAGTAATAAACGACTTGAACGGCTTTGTCTGAAAATAGTATTTGTGTATTTTGGGTTAAAATTGATATTAGAGACTGATTAATTTTGAATTTAATTAATAAGCTATTTGCTTTTAAAGGTTTGATGGTAACTAAAGAATATCTGGAAAGCTAATATCCCAAGCCAATTATAAATTCACCTTCTACTTCGTTCAGAAAGGCTTCCACTTCCACCACCATCACAAAACATGAGAGAACGTCTATCTGGACTAGGTCGTCGACTTCCTAAACCATCACCAGGCTTTTGACGTTGTCCTGCAGAAGGTAATTCATTTCGAGGCTTTCTAATCTCTATTGAACGTAGTTGTGATGCTGAAGGTAGAAACGAGTCAGTTACTGTACTGTTGTCATTTGTGCTAATCTGACAAGTTTAAAATTAACGGTAGAGGGAAATAATTTTTTAATTTAAAAAATGCAAAACTATAAAAGCCCAAAAATATATCCCAAATAAATAAATCAAAGCCTAATCAATCGCTGCCAAAGAGAAGTGTTTCCGGTCGACAACTAAAAAGAAGCGGAAGCTATCAACAATGGATCTGATTGCTTATTTGATCTTTGCTATTCTCTGTTCCGTTGCTGGATATGTAAGTTTCAGATTTTTTTCTTAAAAATTTTTCCAAAAAAATCTGTTAATTTATTTTCAGTTCGCGGGCAGCTACATGCGCAAATTGCAAATGAAGAGTGCGGCGAAGAAGTCCAAGACAAAGGCGGGCAAATCGCAATCGGCGGAGACGGCACACAGTGGAAAGAAGAGAAGATAGAGAAGGGAAGGATGGAACTAATAAATAAATATGGCAATTCAAAGAATATTAGGGAAATAATTTCTGGATTCTTTTGTGCCTTGTAAATATATGTAATAAATATTTGTAAATATATAATTTGTTGATATTTCCCTGTTTATTGTAATCTTGTATTATGTTGAATAAATAAAATGCTTTGCTAGAGAATGAAATATTTTTGTTTAAGGATTAAAGATAATTCTAATTTTCCTTTCTGAACATGTAAAAATTAAGAAAAAGGACACTCCTTTCTATAAACCAAAATAGGTACCCAACTATAATTGTTAGAGATTAGCTCGATTTATTAGATAAGTTTTGATTAGGAATTTTAATCCTATACAATTTCTTGAAGATTTTAAAAATAAATAGTTTAGTCAAAAATTTCTTCTTTTACCTGATTTATTTGATCGTTCTCATCAATTCCTTCAGTCCCCATATTTACAGTATCAACAGGAATTAACACTCCAGGACTAGATCTTCGATCTTCTCCTTCTCTTCCACTAATAACTCCTCCAAATTGAGCACTTCTAATTGAGTGAATACTGTTGGCAGAAGAGGAACGAACATTTCTTTGATGACGGCCATCTTCTAATAAAGCAACTGTCGGGCTTATTAAAAGTTTATTTGCCGAAGATGATTTTTGTGAAGTACTTTCCTTTAAAGATTAAAGAAAAATCTAAAAGAATCTCATTTTACTTGATTAATTGGCCGAATCCAAAAAATTGACGGAAAAACAAATAAAGAACTTAATAAAATTTTAATCCAATCGGGAATTATATAACGATTGGAAATTGTTTGTATTTGTATTTGGCCATAAAGTAATTGTTGAATCCATTGTTGGCAACATTCGTGTGAAATAAAAGCTTTGGCATTTGTCTAAGAAAATATTAAAAAATAAAATTATAAATTTAAAAACGGGTAAGCCGTTTGAAAAAATACTAAGAAAATAGAAAAATAAAATTTTAACAGGCATAAAATACTCGAAAATTTGGAGGATAAGATTGTAATTGGCAAAAAATTAATTCTAAAAAATTACATATTTCAAGGAATGACTATCTTAATATGTAAATTACTAGTCTCATAATAAGATCGAAACATAAGAAATTTTGTACTTGAATGAAAATTACATGTTCTAAAAACAATGTTAGAGAGCACAGAGTAAGTTACTCTACTCATGCCAATAACTTTGACTTTTAGATATATCGAAGTTGGGTCCATTAGAGTCTCGAACTCTAAGATTCCACAAGGGAATAACTTAAAGTATTTTTAAAACTCACTTCAAAAGCCAATTGTATCAACGTCAATCTTCTGTAAACTGAAGGTAAAGGTCTGCATAAAGCATTATAAGCTTTATTTTGATTTTTAGAATAAGCACATTCAATTAATTTAACAGCAAAATTAATTAATTTAAAAGAAAGTTTTTTCAATTTATTTTTATATAAAATCCATTGATTACATTTTTTAGCCAATTCTTTTGAAATTTTTGATAAAATTAAGGAAAGGGCTATTGGCTCGTTAGAAAAAGAACAAAAAATTAAAACATCTTCTGTTTGAAGTAAAAATAAAGACCAAAAAGTAAATATTCTAAAAGGAATTTCTGTATCTTTTAATAATTGTTGTTGTTGTTGTTGTTGGAATTTTGTTGTTGATAAATTATTTTGTTGAGAAATTTTAAATAATTCTGATGGAAAAACATTATTACAAAGACCACCAGATAATTCTGTCTAAAATTATTTATCATTCCAAAATTAAAAATTTTTATTTAAAAAATCACCAATAGATTATCAAATTTAGAAGCAATATTCTCATCAATATGAGTCAATTGTTCCAAATTTTGTAAACTGAGTAATTGGCCAAGAACGATAGTATTGAAGAAGTGCTAAATTATTGGAGAATAATAAAGATTTTATATGAATTTAACCCCGATTATATCTCTGGTTTTATGTATATCTCCGATTATCTCTGGTTATAAGGGCATTACTAGAACAGATTGCTTAGTAGTTCTATAATCTATGTGTATTTCGAAGGTATTCTAGGAAAACTTTGTTTGGACTATCAAATGGGTACTCCCAAATCCATAATACTTATTTTTTTCAAAATTTAATTTAAAATTTCCACCTTTTCTTCAGCTTCGCCTGCCCATTTAATTAAAAATTCAGAATTAACAGGTAAAGGAATATTTTGTTTTAATAAAGAAGACAAAACATTTACTCTTTCCTTTTCAGGTAAATTTAAAACAACAAAAAGAAAAGAAGAAAATTGTTTTTCTGTAAAATGTCCTTCCAAACAAATAAAATTTAAAGGACGGGAAACTCCCAATTTACACGATAATTCTAAAGGACTAGCCCACTCATTTACATCTGCTGCACTTCTTATCAGTAAATCTAAGGCCTAAAAAAGATTTAAAATTAAAAAAATTTTCTTAATTTTTTTAAGTAGGTACTTCCTCTCCAATTTTATCTAAATTGTTGGCAGGCAAAAAAGCAAGTAATGAATGTTCTGATGTAGATATAGTTAATAAAAGTTGTAATACATATTTCTTAGCTTCTACAAAATGAAATGAAAATTTTTAAAAATATTTAAAAATTCGTGGAGTCGTCGATTAATTCAAGATGGAAATTGAAACTAGTGTTGCACCCCGACCCCGTTCCCCGTTCCCCGACCCCGCTCCCGAACGATTTTTTCAGACTTCTCCCCGCCCCGTTCCCCGCCCCGAAACAATTCGAAAACCCCGTCCCCCGACCCGAAAAACTTTCGGGGTTGTCGGGGGTAAGACCCCCATAAAATGCCATTTTTTAGAGGAATCTAAAGAGAAAAATTTAGAAAATTCTCTCCCAATTTACTTTGTACTTATTATTTTTAAAGGAAAAATGAATGTAATAACAAAATTCCCTTCATATTTGTTCAAAGAAACGGTGGTTGAGTGGTTTAGTTGTTAGATTTAGCTATATGTCTATGGAGTCTTATAAGTAGATATTTTATTTTTCTTTATAAAATAAATGATAACAAGTGGTTAATTTTATTTTTAAATATTATCTAACATAAAAACAAGCAAATATTTTTGTTTAGTTCTTGAAATCAAAAAATTTTCGCCTGCGGCGCTATATGTAGAGGAAGAAATCAGGCTTTATGATGTAACAAAATTCTCAAAATTTTCGCCTGAGGATCTAAAATTAATACAACTAATTTACATTCTATACTGAGATATTAGCATTTTATCTTAGTTGGAAAGCGTAAAATTAGAGGGTGATCGGTGGACTGGAATTAGAGGTATCAAGGGATTTGTATGAGATTAGAGGACTCGACAACCCTTAAATCAATGATATCCCTTGAAACTACCTTAGTCCCTACAAATCCTCTTATATCCCAAGATATCCGCTTTAATCCCTCCAAATCCTCCTTAATCATCTCCAGATCCAATTAATCACTCCAATTTCTCTTATTTTCATTTAATCCCACCTTATTTCATTAATTTTTGCATAAATTAACGAAAATAGAAAGAAAACGACTTATTTTTTAAGCATTTTTTGTTTAAAAATTTTTTTCCTTGACCCCCGTTCCCCGTCCCCGACCTAATTTTGCTCCCCGACCCCGCACCCCGCCCCGAAACAATTCGAAAACCCCGTACCCCGACATACCCGCCCCCGAGCGTTCGGGGTGCAACCCTAATTGAAACCATAAAATGGCACTTGAATTAACTTTCAAAACTTTTATTAATCACCAATCCAAATTATAAAAAAAATTAGGAAAACCTATAATTTCACTTTCCACATAACGCCCAGCAGTAGCCAAAGCTACCATACGTAATTCTCTTTCCAACCAAAATTCAAAAGCATTGTGTTCAAAAACGGCACTTTGAAAGAGAGAAAAGGCTGATTTTAGAACAACACATAATTCGCTTATATCCTTAATAAAAATATTTTCTTATTAGAAAAAATAAAAGCAAAAATAGGGCTGATTCTACATAAACCAAAGTTTCCGGTTATCTGGGCTTTAAGGGGCTGTGTTGTGATAAGAAAAGAAGAATGGGATAAGATAGAGGATTTTATCGAAGAAATTACTTGAACAACAAGTGAAGGCACTCCACATTGTGCATAGATAACCAATTCCAATAAAGAAGATAAAGTAACTCCACAAAAAACAACCAAATTTAACGGCTTTTTTTCATTTGAAAGTGAAGAAGAAAGTAAAATAGTAGCCGGAGAATTTTGGGTAGAAATTGGTGTTTGTGAGTGTGAAAGAGAACCAGAAATTGATGTTCTTTCTTCTGGTACTCCAATTAATAATGCTTTAAAAGTAAAGAAAATTAAAAAAAAATTTTTTTTAATCATTGCCTGGAGGAGGTATTGCAAGTTTAATAGCAGTACATGCACGAAATAGCATCATATTTCTCTCTGTAGGATTATTTTTGCCCCAAACAAGATATAAAGTATTTAATCGAGCATCAACCATATGAGGAGGTTCTTTTCTTGTTATTAGTGGAAAGTTTGGATCTTTTGTTGAAATATTGTGCTAAAAAAGATGTAATAATATTTGGGTGGAAATTATCTAGGGTTATCGTCTCGAAACCGAACCAGGGAAATGAGGGGTTTTCAGTTCAGTTCCGAACATTTATCTAGAATTATTTAAATATAAAAGAATATGTCTTTTCCTTTAAATAACAAATAAAATATTTACAATATCAGCAGAATTAATCCCAATCATTAAAGTCTCTTCAGGGTTATCTCTATGTAAAAGAGCTGAACGAAGTGCTTTAGAAGCAGCATAGGCTAACGGATCAGAATGTTCTCCACTTGTAATTACCCAAAGACTACAACGTCCAAAAAGCTTACCAAGACCGTTAATAAGTCGTTCAGAGTTCTAATAGGTACTTTGTTCATATCCCGCCCCCCACCCCTATTTGAGTCTCAGATTAATTTTCCTTCTTTTCTGTCAATCATTTATTTTCCTGATTTTTTAATGCACATCATTTTCTTCCCTCAAATATAGGACACCCAAAATGGCGCGCGGCCATAATGGCGCAAACCCATAACTAGATGGAATAATTTTGACTCTTGTCATTTTTGTTATTAATCTCTTTAGCTCGATGAGAGGAATCGTTTAATATTAATTTTGTTAAGGTCGAAAATCTTGAAGCAAGTTATGGCTTTGCGCCGTTATGGCCGAGCGCCCTTTTGGGTTTTGAGGGAAGAAAATGATGGGCATTAAAAAAAAGGAAAATAAATGATTGACAGCAAAGAAGGAAAATTAAACTGAGACTCGAATAGGGGTGGGGGGCGGGATATGAACAAAGTACCTTCTAATAAATTTAAAATATTTTTTAATAATTTTAAAATCCAAAAACTTCAAAACTAAAAGAATTTCCTGTTCCAACAAGTGAAAGTATCAATTCGGGAACTCCATGGTCTAGAGAGTCGGCGGAAGCAGCAAGTCGGCTTTAATGGGAATTAGGAAAGGATTTTTATTTTTAGAAAACACCTATAGATATGTTTAACAGCTTGGGGAATCTGTAATGGAGTTGGAATATAAATTGCTGGACAATGCTGAATAACACCTTCCAAAGAAGTATTACCTCCATTCCATTCACTATCGACAAAAATACCAACTGTATTAGTGTGAAGAAATTCGGTAGAATTTGGTTGGTTTCCATGAGGTAAGGATGTTGGGGGAATTGTGTAAAATTCCTCATCCATTTTTTAAATTTTTATAGCCTGAAAGCTAACATGAAATTGTTATAATTGAATGGCCGCCATTCTATTTTCCAATACCCCAAAAAAGAGTTATTCAATTAGAGAGGCCATTTAATTAGAATAGATACGGTATATATTTTAAGTGAGGAAAAAACGGTTTAAGGGTAGAGTAAATATTTTGAAATAATTTTGTTATTTAATAATTAGGTAATAATGTAAATAATACATCCATAAAGAGATACATATTTTGGGTGTAATAATAATTAACGGAATAAAAGTAAAAAGTGGGTTTGCTCTGATTGACTTGAATAAAACAAAATGAAGTGTTAAAGTTAATTCAATTAGAGATTTAATTGATCAAATTATCGCAGATACTAAAAATTGAAAACAATCGGAATTATTTGTTCGCAAGAGTAGTGAATATATAGAGAATCAATAATTTAAAAATAAAATTAAATTTTAACAAAAAAATGTATTAAATAAAAATATTTGCCCCAGTTATTGTCATCTAGATTTCACCAGATAGGCAAAAGCTTTCTTTAAAATTATCGAGGACTTTCTTATGCTAAAATTTTGAAATAATACCATGTTCATTAGTGACTGGCACCGGACCGGATCCGACCGGATTTTTCCAAAGTCCGGTCCGGAATAACGAAGTCCGTGTTTGACAAAACCGATTTTGCCGGTCACTAATGTTCATTTTTTAATTTAAAATTTTGTGAACAGTAAAATAGAGAAAAACTCCCCGAGACAAAAAGTCCACAGAATACTATACTTATTTTCGGCTCTCTAACTGCCACAATTATTAACTTCCAACTTTTCTTCTCTAACCACACACTATTTTCAATTAGCCTTATTCATTTTAGTTTGCCGCAGGGGAAGTTATTTTGATGATTGTTATTTTTTAAATATTTTTTTAATAATTTAGATTTTTAGTTACAAATGAGCAATAGTAATTTACAAGATGGTCATGAAAGACTTTTATTTGAATATTTTATTGTAGCAGGATTAAATGACAAAGAAAATTGTGATGAATTTCCTGCTCATTCTTCTGATGGAAAATTAAATAATGGAGAAGCAAAGGCTCCAATAACGGATATTTGTGTTGTTATTTCAAGTGCAGGAGAGACTGTTTGTTTTATTTTTAGAAAAAATAATTTATGAATTTTGAAAAATTCGATTTTCAAATTTAACTAATCTAAAATGTTCGTCCTATTTTTTGGATATTTTTTCCATTTGACACTTTCTAAAATGACCAGTAACTCCGCATTTTTTGATTTCAGATCATTACTGAACCTTGATATTTTTCTATCTTAAAATTTTCAGACACCTGTTGACTTTGAAAGAATAGAAACAACACCTTCAGGCTATTTGGCTAATTTAAATCACGGGTCTATACGTTCTACAGCTTGTTTTGTTTGTTTTAAACGTGGATATCATAAACCGCCTCTTATTGACCTAGGAATTCTGGATGAAAGTAGAGGCGAAAAACCTTGCAGTGTTAGTTTTTTTTAATTTTGTTTTTTTATATAAAATCACCCTTTGTGAAATTTTTGGAAATTACCTACCCCCCTTCATATTGGTTATCAGCTCCCCCTTGCCCCCCCCCCTCCGAAAAAATCCTGGTTACGGGCCTGATTAGCTCTCTCCAAAATTTTTATAACATGGAGAAACAGGATGATGATGTGGACAATGAAAAGGTACAAAACGTGTTTTTCCATTAGCTTTCCATTCCTGATTAATTTTCTTTTTCTGCTCTTAAACGTTGCTTGATCAATCGTACATTATTAATTTTTTTATGTTATAGGATGCAACTGTAATTGAAAAAACTCCTTATGGTCTTTCGGCAAATATTAGCAATAGCAATTCTCAAAGCCTTTATTTTACATTTAGACGTGCTAAACCAGATGCTCCTCCACATCAACTTGTCATTACAGATATTTGTGTTATTTTAGAAAACAAAAATGAGCAGCCTCCCCATACTTATTACAAAATCCCTAAAAATCTGAATAGAGTTTGTTTTTTTTTATTTTTTTAAAAATTCAATCATTTCTTTTAGAGTATGCTTGGTTCGGAAGTCTATATTTGTTTTAAAAAGTCCCAGATGATGTGCAAACGTTTAGCTTATAGAGCTAGTGTTTTGGATTGTTTTCCACCTCTCAAAAGTGATGAAGACTCAATTCTTGTTCAAAACGTTCCAAAATTTTTTCTTCCGATGGGAGCTTCAATTGTTAGTTTTTTTGTTGGATTTAGAAAAATATTTTAAAAAATTTTTTAAGGAAGCCTGGCCTGAAAGTTGTGTTGGTTCCGAAAAGAATTCTAGTTCCCGGACATTTAGCACTTGTGTTTTTACAGATGAGGTATTTAAATTTAATAATTTTTAAAATTTTCTCCTTATTTTAAGGCATATAATAAATATTATGGCGCATCTGTAACATTTTTTGAACCATACACAAATACCTTGTCTGACGAACAATTAGAAAAATTTGATCTTGGAGATGGCTTTAGAAAATGTCCAAAATCTTTAGAATCACCTACTCCATCAGTTTCGAACTCTGTGGATAAAAAAGAAGTTGGTGAAGAGGGTGTTGCTACAAATCAAGAAAATTACCTCTTTTATTGTAATAAAGCAATCTGTATTGTTTCTCGTTATCCATTCTTTGAGCCATTTCGACGCTTTCTCTTCTTTCTTTTAAATTCTGTAACTGTTGGAAAATCAAAAATTCCTATTGAGCGATATATTTCGCATTTGGTAAGTTTATTTTGATTATTTTAATTGGGGCTTCTAGTAAGTGAAATTCTAAATCACATACGGAAATTCATTTTACAATAGGAAAACAATTACTGTGTTAACCTTATTTGAAAATGCTTATTTTTAGATCGCCTTTCTAATTTTTATAAAGCATATTAGACAATTTTCAAGTTATTTTTTCTTTAAATTGTTTTTTAAGATGTATGAAGTTCCATTCCCTTCGCCATCTCGTCCACGAATTTTAATGGAACTTGGAAACGACATGATAGATTTAAAGAGCAGTGATGACAGCCAAATCCCTCTCACTGGTGCTGATTTTTTTGAAACACTAAAGTGCCTTGGAACAGAAAATTTGCTTTATGCTATGCTTCTAACACTTTTAGAACAAAAAGTAATTTAAAATTTATTACATATTTTAATGTCTTTTTTCAAGATTCTTGTTCATTCTTTACGTCCTTGGCTTTTGGCATCTGTGACTGAGACATTTTGTGCAATGATTTTTCCTTTTTCTTGGCATTTACCTTATATTCCACAATGTCCTTTAGAAGTTGCTGATATTTTTCATGCTCCACTTTCTTTTATGGCAGGAGTTGATTCGAGGTTTTCTTTTAAAATTATTATTTATTTCTGACAATTATTTTTAGATATTTTGACTTAAAGGAAGACCCTCCTTCTGACGTTACTTGTTTTGATTTGGACACTGCCACAGTAAGCAAATCAAGTGTTAGAAAGTTTTATAAACTGGATATGTTACCTAAAAAGCCTCTAAAAAGACTTCGTAATGTTTTGGATGAAATTTTTATCAAAACTACTATTGAAAATGCCTCCTCTAGAACTGAAAAGGACAACGAAAAGTTGTATTTACAAAAAATTCAGTCAGAAACAGCAATTCGTGAAGCGTTTCTAAAGTATTTTTAATTTTGTTATTTTAATTGTTTTTGTAAAAATTTTTAAGATTTGTCTGTTCTTTGATGGATGGCTATTTGGATTATCTTCGTCCACTTTTAAGCTCTCCAAAAAGTGAAGAAGAATTAGACATCAACCGCTTATTTGATTGGAATCTTTTTCTTCATTCTCGCGACAAACACTCTTCTTTATTTTATCAAAAATTTCGTGAGACAACTTGCTTCATTCGATTTATCGAAGAACGTTCTGGTGCTTTGTCTGAAAGGGGAGAAGTTGGAAGCGGTTCTGTTGATAGAAGCATTTATTATATATTTTTTGATGATTGTATTTCAAAAATTAATACAGGTTTTTTAAAGATTTTTTAATTAAAATATTCTCTTGGTTATTTGCTTTAGTGGTTGACTTTTTAGATTTAATTAGGATATATTTAATTGTAAGATTAATTTTACTTAAATTTTAATATTTCCTGTGATCTTTTTAATATTTATTCTTTTGTCTTACAAGAATTGCAAAATGCTGTGAGCAGTAAAGACAGAGCAGCAGCTAAAGAGCGTGTAAACAATATGCGTTTACTTGATGCTGATTCAATCCGTGCTAATCGAACTGTGGTTATCCAGGCACCACAAATGCTCAATCCTGAATTTAAAGATACAACTTTTACTTTCACTTCTTTTCCTCAACGTTTTTGCGATAAGCTTTTTGAACGTGACTTTATACGAAATGCAGCTGCATCTCGTCCACCTCAACATTATCTTCACTCTAGTACAAAATTAGGTTTATTAATGGATTGAAAATTAATTTTCTAATTTAAATAATTTAGGCAATAAAAATATTGTTTTGCGGACTCGCCAGGAAATTAGAAAATCGATGTCAGATACATCAATCCTTTATCATCAAAATATAATGTATTGGCCGCGTTCTGTCCTTTTCTTTGCTTATTCAATTTGGTTTATGCAACTTCCATCTATGTTGGCTTTGTCTAGGAGTAAAAAGAAAATGTTGATTCTTGGATTAAGAGTTTGTTCTTTTTTTATTTTTCAGGAATAATTTAGTCCATCGAGAGTTTTAAGTACCTATAATTATAACACGTTTTGATTCCTGTTTTTTTTTAAATTTTGCCAAAAGACTTTTCTTTAATATTTTGCAGGTTATTTCTCGAATGGAACAGTTAATGTTGCCTATTCATGATCAAATATGTTATAGAGTTCTAATGCAACTTTGTGGTGATTATGATTATCCTGAATTAGCTGTGTATATTTTGCGAAAAATGCTTCGAATAGGGATTGTCCCAAATGCTGTTACATATAAAGTTTACCATCAAGCATTGATAAAAGTAAAGTTTGGGG